TCTGATGAACAGGGTACGACTCATCAGCACAACTGGCATGTTTTTTTGTACATCTCTGCTCACAAATATGTCCTTGAGGTTGTCATAGTAACCCTGGTTAAGTGTTTGGCGGAGGATAAATCATCCTCTCTGACTGGAATATAACAATCATACAAAAACATGTAATCATCCTCAGCATCTGATGAACAGGGTACGACTCATCAGCACAAGTGGACTCGCAGCGGAGCCACGGCCACTTCAACTGATATCAGCTGCCAAGACACATCTGAGGGCCTGCTTACTATGCAGGTGTGCTCTCACTTCACATCTCAGGTATGCATGCTACATCTGGTCCAGTTTTTTATTTTAAAAAATGATTTCATGTTTCGGATTTTGTTCCTTTAAGTTGACTTTATATCACAGATTTAACACTGTTCTGAACCATCTCTTTATTCCTACTTAGGTTAAAACATTGAAATACAAAGAAAAGGGTCTGTATGCAGTGCTGTACAGAGCAACCAATCTGCATCTAAACTGAAGTATGTACCAATCAGGGCTTGGATGGCCTAGAGGAAAAGTCACGCTCCATGTACGGAAGCTAAAATCCTCCTCTGCATGTCACTCGCTTCTCCCTCTCCCTGGTCTCCTCTATCACCTGAACTACGGTATCTATTAAAGGCAAAAATCCCCCGCACAAAAAACAAAAAACAAATCAAAATCTGCACTGCAGAAATGCACAATCATTGGGTCTGATTTATTCACACACCTTGGAAATTTCACTCAAATTATGATTTTTTCTAATCATCTTGGGATAACAACGCTGTTTTTCCCGCGATAACGAGTTTTTTTCCTAAGATCTGAAGAAAAAAGCTCAAATGTCACTTATTCTAACCGAAAAATCAAACCCAAGTATAACGACATACTGTAGACAAGTTGATATATCGAGAAAAGAGCAGAAATGTTTTGTTATAATGGGCAAATGGAGTTAAATGACATGTATTGATGCAGGTCTACTTAGGGCTCTGTGTCTACAGGACAAGATGAGTAAAAAGTTAACACATACTGCTTTGTCAACACATTAGCCAGAAATTGAAACTATATTCTCTTGTGGGACTGATTTTGTAATTTAGGTAAATTAATTGATAATTTATTTAATACATCTGTCTGTAATGCAGTAAAAGAATCTCACAAGGACATTAAGGGGCCATTAATGGACGAACTTCACATTACTTAATATTAGAAACACAAAGAGGAATCTTAAATAAAAAGGGTCCCATTACCAAATAATGTCATCCTATGTACCACTAAGATTAAGCTTTTATTTTGATACTTTAAACTAAGATCATACATACTTTTATTTTTTTGTGAATCCCTTTACATAATAATACTCAAGAGTATAAAAATATAAACAGGTATATCTGATTATGGTTTTTGTTTGATAATGACAATGATTTTCAGGAGGGTTTTGATGCTGATTAAAACTCTGAAGAACAGCTGTCGATGTTGTGCTTTGCCTCTGTGCATTACCTGTCGGCACCTGTGTGTCCGATTAGACTTAAAGCTGTTTGTTTGCACCTACTGACGTTTCCTCCTCTCTAGGTCCTTGCTTGTGTTAACCACTTAACACTTTTCTCTGCCTCTCCTTTAGCTTGTTGAAGACTGCTCATGTGCAATGAGTGCAAGTAGGCATTACTGACATTGTCTTCTCCTTTCTAGATCCTTGCTTGTGTTGAGTCTACGAGGTGAATTGCAGAATTGTACATCAATGTGACTTTCCCTTTAGAGAGGAATTTTCTCTCATGACATGGAGAGTAAAATAATGTGCCTAAATATTCCATTAAAGTTTCTATTTGAGTGAAAATGAAAATGAACTTCAAACGTACAGCGTGAGATCACAATCTCATAATTAAATCCTAAATGAGAGAGCTGATAAAAATGAATGTCATGTTTTTATGCTTTCCTGCCTTTAGTTCAGGTTACTGAAGGACAAGAAATAACTCAACTCTCACATATTTACTCATAAACAAAGAATAATAATAAAAACACATGTTATTTAGAAAAAGATACTTTAGAGAGTCACATTAAAAGGAAGACAAAGAGAAAATTTAAGGAGAAAAAACATATTAAAACAATGGCACAAAAGGCAACACTAGTATAAAAAGCAGTTCTGAAAAGATTGTTTTGATTTGATTTGTGGCAGGTAAAGAATAAAGAAGGGACACTGTAAAGTGATGTATATGCCAAAAATGAAATGTTTTTTGATTTGAATGGTCATGTCGATTTGAAGTCAGCTACTCCATAAACCAATCGTTTTGGTTATGAATTCAGATTTAGAGCAGCACCCTACACATCACAATGTTTCTCAATACAGCTGAACAACCCCTGTGTCGCCCAGCCCCCTCACATCACCCGAAGGCATAAGGTTAAAAGAGAAATCCCTTGGCAATACAGAGCTGCACTGCTAATCCCAGCTTAGACTTGAGTACCTATTTCAGCTAGCTAATGCCCCTCATGGAGGTGGTCACTTCATTTGCAGTTACATTTTTCCTTTAGGCGTCAGTTTCATGTTGAACTTATACACAGCTTATTCTCCAGCTGCTCTGAGTGAGCTGTGTCATTAAAACATTTCTGTTGCCTACATCCACTCACATGTTCAACTTTAACAATCAGTCATAGAAACATTCATCTAAACAATAACTGTGCCTGAATCTATAAAATAGTTTTATGTGCATCTGTGGTAATCTCAAACTGAAGGGAATTAGCACTTTAATAGACTTTAGATCATCCTCACTGAGAGTGGGTTTAGGGCAATCCATTATCAGGAACAGAGTAATACTGGATACACAGAAAAGGTGCTTATATACAGAGAGTAGTGTATGGACACTGCGGGACAGAAATAACACCACTATAATCTTCTCCAAATGCTGCTTCATATATATCATTCTAAATTTACTTTCAGGGCAACATGTCAACGCTTTAGTAGGATCCAAAGTCCTTGTTTAAACCAACTGTCACAAACAATACACTAAGTATTCAGCACTGTAATTCTTGTAAATCTATAAGCATGTCCAGTTGGATACTGCTGTGGTAAAAGACAAACAAAAAGTGGTAGAACAATCACTCTCCCCTTCTCCAAACCTCATTAGGTTTAAGACTGTCTCCAGGTGCATAGAGATCTATTGAAAGCCTCTTTTCATCTCTGCCAGAAGGCAGAAGGTAATTACTGCATCCTAAACCCTGGCTTTCCAAGAGTGCACCATGACACAGTGCAACAATTGTCTCCTGTATGCTCGCTTCCCCATACATTTCCAAGACAGTCAGATAGTACGGCCCCCCTCAGGCATAACACGATGAGCTGAAAGTGATCTGCTGGATCTCTGTTCATCGAGCATGATCCCGTTGCACAGGCTTATCTTCCTAGTATATGAACAATTAGGACTGTAAATCTTCATATAGTTTGAATAGCAGTAGGCACGCTCTTTAAATCTTCCAGCAGCAGTGTCAAATAAATTTGGGTTTTAAGTGAAATAAAAGCAGGAAAATAATAGGCCAAGTACTTTGCCAGAGTCTACATAACAGATATTTAAAAAATAAACTTGACTGGGCTGAATTGTGTGCATTTAGTGTCTTATGATGTTCCAAATACTAAATTGGCCTAATAATCAGTGGTACTTCCTCTTAAACTGTACTTTATTATTCAAATCAGTTAAATATATTAATTTATCTAACATTTCAGATGTGGTAGAGGTTCTTAAGGCCGGTCAGAAACAGTGATAGAAGCCATGAGAGGCTGTTCAGGCTTAGAGAAAAGCTAACATACTAGCTAACTTTGCTAGTCAAATAGATTCAATACAATTTTGATCTGCTGTGCTGGCTGGCATGAATTTTGAGATGGATATATGCTTTCAACTTATAGGCCTTAGGTGCTTTATGATTCAATTTTAAATATCGCTAAGTGATAGCCCAATGGGAGCTTGTAATTTAATAAAAAAAAAGAGAAGGATAGTAAGGAGTATTACTTTTATTGCAGTGAAAACCAGGGTAGTTTGGTAATAAATGTTCAAAGCTAGGACAAATAACAGATTTTTGTCAGGATAGGATAGTTGGTTTAAAACAGGGACAACCTGCACAATTTAAGAAATTATCTATGGATAATTTAATGGTTTTTACATTTTTTAACTAAGTTTGTATAAATCTTTACTATAATGAGTAAGACAGACAATTTTAAATTATTTCAAATTTGTATAACTTTTTTTGGAAAGCATCTCACAACCCCACTGTGGGAAGCGCTGACCTAGCCTAGTGTGCTTACCATAGACTGTAAGGCTAACCTTGTCAAGCAAGCGACATTATTTTAAAAATTGAGTCTGCTGTCAGTGTAACTTGTGATTGCCTAAAATTGGCAGGGCAAAACTGAATAATTAAAATAAATAAAAAATAACAATAGTCTACTTGTGGGGGTAAAAACATGGGCTGAGGAGGGAGGACCCGATTTGGTTGTTAGCTAATGCTAGCTTGGCTTTTCTGTAAGCAGGAAAATTGCTATCTAGCTAAAGTAAAAAAAGGCTACTGGCTTGATTGTGGAAAAGTCAAATTATCAATACAAACAATTAATTAAAGTTTGATCTAAAAACCACCGAAGTAGCAAAAGGTAAAACACAAAGGTATACCTTGAATTAAAAAAATAATAATAATAATAATATATATATATATATATATATATATATATATATATATATATAAAAATAAAATAAAATTATGAAAAATAAAATCTTTGACTTTAGAAGATTTAATTAGCCTAGGCTACATCCCATCACTGGTTCTGGACTTAAAATTGATGTTTTATTTTTTAAATTCAAATAGGCAATCTAAAGCCAGTTGCGTTCCCCTTTTCTTAAACAAATATGGTGTGAAAATGTGTGACCACAGTCAGGCTCTGTCAGTGTTGTTGTGAGTTGTGGACAGTGATGGCAGCTACAGGGAGCTGCAGGTCTCCTCCCCTTGTCTGATCTGATCTGGGACCTGTCAGCTCTCCGCACACCGTCTTCATCCAGCAGAGCCGCAGGGATAATGATCGATATTTTTGTCGACTTTGTGCTCGGCTAAACCGGATCGGAAATATTTCTTTGGTTAACTATTTTACATTTGTTTGTTTTTTTTGAAGATGGAATTACACAAAAGCAATCACAACAGGGGAATTGTTTGTTCGGTCGGCTGTCAGAAGTCATTGTGAGGAGGCTTCAAACAGGTGGGTCATCTGCTAAATGCGTTTATGCGTGTTTGAAACAGTCAGTCAGTGGACTGACTGACTGTTTCAAACACTGAACCAGCATTTGCATGGAAAAAAAACAAAAAACTTAATGTGTTCTGATATTTTTTGTGTCTCTAAGGTATCCTTAAATATTCTTGAAGACATGTTAAATGGATATATTATTCACAGAGATCTGTTCGGTTAAGCTATGTCCTCTCACGTTGACTTTCAGATGGTCTGCATGCTGTCGCAGCAACCTTGTCCAAGATAGGCTGTAATGACTGCAGCTGTCAGTGTTTTAATTCATTCAGCAACCTTTTAAAGCCACTTATCAACGTTAGAAACAATAGAAAACTGAAGCAGCAATTTTCAGAACCTTTAAATTATATAATAAGATATAGAATACACTCAATATATCATGAGATTATTATATCAAATCAAACTTTAGGCTATTTGTAAAAGTTCAAACAAGGCCTGTAGTTCAAAGGGGAGAAGATAATAGACTGACAAGCCATTAAGGATAAGATAATATATAACAGGTTATAGGGCCTATATTAAATTACATTTAACAAAACATCTAACACAACTTAAATAAATGAATATTTTTTTTAGGCTTAAACATAGGCTACTTCATGGATCCAATTATTATGAACTATAATAATAAACATTATTTATGTAGCCTAGCACTTTTCAAAACAGGTTTAAAAAGTGCTTCACAAAATGAAAATTAAAAAGAGAAACGTGAGGAAGACATTAAGGAGTGTTTAGTGAAACTGCAGGCCCTAAGATAGGCTACATTAAGGATGCTTTATTGTATATTTTAAAACCACTTGTCCACAAAAGATAACGTGAATATACATTTAAAACCAGGCAAAATTAGTGTAAATGAGGGTAAAAACAAATCTATTAGGGATGGGGATGTCTGGATGAATACACAACCTCACCACAAGTCTCTCAGTGAGGCCTATACTACCAAAGAACAACAGATCTACTTATCACCAAAACTAAAACACATACTCATTTAAACACTCATTTTGATTCACATAAAGAATATAGGCTACAATTAAAGCAAAATATAATCAATAAAGGCTAATCATATTTAGATATTCATTGTTTATTACCATTAATAAACTCCCTTCTCCCGAAAGCTGCTGAACATAAGAATAGGGCTTCATATTGCATTTCTGTTCTTGCAATTATTATTCAAATATTAAAAAACACTGCAATACTGTGCATTTTCACCATACAGCCTGTGACTACAGCCTACCATAATAGTGTTTTTTCACCATACAGCCTGTGACTACAGCCTACCATAATAGTGTTTTTGTTTTGTAAAGTTTAACTCAATTTGAGATCACATGTATTCACCACAATAGAGGGTTTGTGTATTTCTATATTTTTCTGAACAGTTTCCCATCATCCTGCAGTCTGTGACCTGTGCTTGTCATTCCTCAAAGCAACAACATGTTTTTAAAAGGAGAAAAATATACACATGCATCCTGTAAAAATCATTTCAGTCCATTACAGTCATGTTGAGCGCCCCACACATGATTATGTGACTGATGTTTGTGCAGGCAAACTGTTGATTTTACCATTTGTCACCCTCGGAGTGCTCTGCTTCTTGGTGATTGACAGTGTGATTTAATTTAGTGGGGGTTGGTTAACTCCCTGGAATTAGCACTAATCTACATGCGTGCACGTGTTACAACCACTGGTGTTCCCCAAAGATCACTGAGTCAGTATCATTATTTGAAAAAAAAATATTTGAACCCAAATGACTAAATAAACCTCACTTTACATGTTTACATGTTTTAATGTGAAATCATATATACATCTGGGCTGTGTCACAGTTTAAGATTGTTTTTGACTGCACTTCCAAGACACTCTAAAGGACAATATGGCTGACTTGGCTGTTTCTCCAGACTCTGTCCAGAGCTGTAAAGAGTCGCTGCCCTCAGCCACATACAGTTTGGCTTGTGCTTTAAGTGGAGCCCTAATAGAATTAACCTGCTGCACACACAACTGAACATAGCAACCACAGTCTACCTGTAAGCCATAGCTTAGTTATTTTAAAAACCAGCTGAGCGTTCACAGAGGGCACTGATCCTGTTTAGTGTTAAGGACGTAATGAGGGGTGTATTTTGAGATGCTACTCTCAGACAAACAGTGAACAGTGGTGTTCAGTAAACACATCAATAACAAAGCATGAGGGAATTTTATTTTTATATTTGCTGTATGATATCGTGTGTGTAAAATCAATCAATCAATCTTTATTTGTAAAGTGCCAATTCATAACAAATGTGATCTCAAGACATTTTACAAAAGAGCAGATAAAAGACCTTACTCTTTGTTATATTATGTTACAAAGACCCAGCATTAATCCATCATGAGCTCAGCACTGAGCAACATTTAGCAAAGTTACAGTGGCGAGGTATAACTTCCTTTAAGAGGCCGAAACCTTGAGCACAACCAGACTCATGATGACCAACCAGCCATCTGCTGAACATGTTGGGCTTGAAAAGTGGGATAGGGGGAGAAAATCTGATTGAAACAACTGACTGAACAGTGTGTTTTTATCCTTCTGTTTCTTCCTGTGTGCCCAGGCCAACGGAGCCGAAAACAACAACATGGCAAAAATCGGGAGTGAAAACTCTTTTTTATCAAGACAACGGTTGTCCAAGAAGACGCCTGATGAGGAGCTCGCTGTCATTGAAAATGGAGACAGCAGGTTTGCCAGTCAAGTTAATGCTCAATAATATATAAAATATCAGTGCATTTTTCTGTACCAGTTTCACTTTGATGTAATCTGGTAAAATTATGATGGCACTATCTAAAGAAAATGACTCTGTTTTTTTTTCTACCTGTTGTCTTTCAGGGCTCACTCACTTTGTGAAGAAAACTCTGAGACGGCGTTGTCTTCAGAGTCCCACAGAGACTTATTTACAGGTGCTGGGGCCATGGCCAGGTAAACATTCTAGTAATACTTTTATGTTCTTAGTATTTACAAGTGGTGGAAATGAACTATAACTCTTCACTCAAGGGCTGGACTCAAATACGTTTGTGAGGTAGTTTTGTACTTTAATGTAGTTTTCAAATGTTCCTACTTTATACTTCCACTTGACTTCGAGTCAGAGTGAAATATTTTACCATTTACTACAATGCCCACTTGACAGTTTGTTACTATGGACACTTCACTTATTATTATCACTTAGAGTAAAAACACTGGTAACTGACCCTTTTAACTTTTGTACTCTTGCAAAACCTCATAGTTTCATCTAAAAACCAGAATATTGATACAGAAACAATCATCCCCACGGTTCATTGATTTATCTCACAGTTTAAGAACCTTGTTAAAGTGATCAAGCTTTAAAGTTAACACCTAATACTTCTATAAAACCTAAATAGACTTTTGAATTAAAGACTTACTTGCCATGAAGTATTTTGACAGCATTGTCGGCCTTCTTGTATTTTCACTGATGTAAAGTATCTGGATACATTTTCCACCATTTGTGTTTACAAGTTCTTTTAGATCAGTGATTTATCAAACTGTGGTAGGTGTAGAATTAGTGTAGTTCTTTCGGAGGACCCTATAACAACACTGTGGCCTGTGTCCTTTATTAAATACCCTCAAATTATCATTACATTTATTTTTTATAACATGAAACTGTTAAATACACATGGTGATACTCTTGAAATAAATTTTTACCAATTCAAAGTAGGGCTGTCAGCGTTAACGCATTAATCACGATGAAAGTCCAAAATGAATTCATTAATTTTTTCATCCTTTTGACTGTGTGCTGTTTTGGCCCTTTGGGTGCAGCCTAGCTAAGACGCCACACAGACAGCAGCGTCTTCCTGTAGTCACAGTGATGAAAAAGCCTCTGAGCCTTTGGATGGCTCATTTCATTTTTAAAAAACAGTTTAGGAGTCAAAAATAATACTCTGAACCACAAGACATCAAACATTTCCCTTTTTTTTCCTGTCCTCTCAAACTGTTTTCATTCGCTTTCTGATCAGACAAGTTTCTTTTCTCTGTCGTTGTAACCTTTGGTTGATTAGAGTTCTTTTGGAAAAAAAAGCAGGTGTGTATCCAAACAGGAACTAGAGTGTCCTTAGATTAAGACAGTACAAAACTGTTTTGAAACGCAAACTAGTGAAATTAAAAATATGAAGGATGAGCGTTAATCACAATAATGGCAGTAGCTGACCTGATTGACAGGAGGGCACGATGTAACGGTTTGTCAGGAAGCTTAAAACCTGCATTGGCTCCAGCTTTTCGCCTGTCGTTAGGTTGAATAAAAGTAAGGTTGAGATAGTATTTCCAGCATGGCGACCGCCATCGATAGGACTCCAAAGCTCCCTGCAGTAACAGATGGGGGACATCACTCAGGCTTCGTCCATTAATATTTACAGACTATGGTTAAATCTTCATTCAAAACGTTTTAAACGTTTGACAGCCCTAATTTTAAAGGTCTTTAAAAGAAAAAACGCATATTAGCTATGCAGAGTGGACATGAATTTCTGTCTGCCTTGGCACAAAGTAATAATGTATTTGTGAACTATGAACACAGTTTAATTTGTATTCTTTAGTCCTCAGATAAAGCATAATTCGTTTTTTAATGGTTGCAAGGTTGAAAAACAGTTGAATATTATTTAGATTCTAAGCATGGTGGCTCCTTCAATGTTACATTGTTGGTTTCACCACCGGACAGGGGTATCTACAAAATATGGTTCGCAACACAGTGGTACACAGTCTGAAGCATTTAGAAACCTTTGTTTTAGATGAAATAACTAATAGTCCATTCCTAGCCTAGACGGGTGTCACCTTGTTCTGTTTTCCCTCCTGCTAACCCTGTAGGCTCTCTTACATCTTCTTCATGCTGCGAAACTGGGCGTCCCACAGAGTGAACCCTGAAATAGAGAGGCATGACTCTTTTCTTGAGCGCTTCAGAGGCCCTGAGCTCAAAGACATCTCCAGTCGAGACAGCAATGCCCAGTCTCACGGCACGTCAATCCTTAAGAGAAAGTAAGTACTGTGCGGTGCGTTGGCACTGCCGTTTGTCAGTGTAATCAAATTCTATTTTCAGGAGTCACTGTGACAATGAAAACTTCAGGCAACACCAACAAACAGGAGGATAAATCCACAGAACATGAGGAACGGTCGATTTGCAGAGTCAAGAAAATGGAGCTAGAAAATGATACACAGTGGGGAGGATAGTTCATCCTCAACATCAGAAATGTTCCACATTCTTTATGAATCAGAAAATTAAGACTTGGTTTGGATGTGTGGGACAGCTATCAAGTGCAATATGAAGTTGTGAGTTTAGGAATTTCGAAGGCTTGCCCACCACAAAAACCTCCCTCAGCTACATTGACAAAAAGACAGAGAGAGAGAGTGGGAAAGGACATCCTGCAAAGGAGCAATAGGTCGGATGAGAACTTGGGCTACAGCCTCTCTATGTGGGGTGCAAGAACTGCACTATGCAACCGACACCCCTTTCTTTTGAAATGTTCACATTGCTTGTACATAATGAAATTAAAAAGACTAAAAACCTGCACGATTGTATGATACTGCTCTGCTAGTTAACAGCTAGCTTAAATTGTTATATTGATAGGATTTGCTTGTTGCAAATCAATCACACATCATCTTATGCATCTATTTAACTGTCTGAGAGTTAACTAAATGATATCAAACATATTTAAACAGGGAAAGACATTTAAAAAAAAACAACTACCAGCTAACTTATTTCTAAAAGTTAAGCGTGGCTTTTATAGGTAGAGTTAGCAAGTTACCCCAAATCACAGTGGATCATTTTTATCAAGTGTCTCAGAGTTCAACTGTTGCAACAAACAAGTTGAAGAGATACTAATACTTCTGAAAAGTAAATAACTTTATGTTACTGCTCCTGATTCAATTAATATAATCACAAATATGTTTAGATTAAAAAGAAACGAGAAGTGCTAGCTACCCACTAGCTAGTGGTGAAGTGTGGTTTATCGGCAGGGTTTTAATCACCACAAACTGAAAATCATTGTAAAAAAAGATGTAACGCTCTCTAATAGTACGATAAATGTTTTCACAGTTTTAATAGGAAAGTAGTTAAGAGTTGCTTGTTTTACCGCAGCTAATACTACATTTAACAGAAAACAGATATTACAAATGCTAGCTAACCTTTGATAATAGCCAATTATATGGTCATCTTAGCAAATTATATGGTCATCTTAGCAAATCCCTCTTAACAGGTTGTCGTTGGAAAACTTAATTTACTGCCATAGAGTTAAATTGATATTAACAAAATTATTGTGACAGAAAAAGAGTTAAAAGCTGCTGACTAAATATAGCTAAACACTAGCTAACAGGAAAATTTGTTTTTTATGATGGTCTTTGTTACCCAAACTCTCATGATTTAGATACTTTCATGCAACTTCTTTAGAGTTTAATAATTGTTGTCAAAAGTAGATTGTTTTCAAGCGACTAAACTTGCTTTAGAAACAAAAAGTTCTGAAACTGAGGGCTCCTTTTGTAAATTGCTTTTCCGTATTTTTGTTTTCAAAGTCTTGCGAGTAAGTGGCCGCTGGCTACATACAACATGAATAACTGCAACAACACAGACGAGTAAGTGTGTACATATCTGTGTTGGAAAATAGAATAAAGATTAGTATTAGATTTTTAGAGGTCTGGTTGAACATCATTAGCATATTGTGTTTGATATTCTGTAGTGAATAGCAATCCTAAAATCAAGATATCCTCCAATTCCACATCCCTTTCTGGTGTTTCCTCCTGCGTTAGAGTGATACAACCCTCGTTCATTTTCTTATCTGTGGGATTTTTCTGTGGCAAGATGCTTTTCATGTTGTAAATTAGCAACAGCTAAGAGCATGGAGCCATGGAAACTCACTTTTATTATGCTGCCGTCTACTGGATAATAATATAGCCTGCACTAGATCTCCCAACAATCCTTGGATCCTAAGCTGTAAAACCTCCATTAGACCCTTAATACAGACCGGTCGCCCTCTGACAAACCCTCATAGACAATCCCAGGCCCTTTTTTTTGCCTCCATTTAAACTAAACTTGTGGTCCATAGCAAAAAAGACGAGATTAAAAAAGATGATAAAAAGGAGGAGGAGAAGAAAGATGAAAAGAAAGATGAGGACAAGAAAGAAGAGGAGAAAAAAGACGAGAAGAAAGATGAGAAAAAGGATGAGAAAAAGGATGAGAAGAAAGACGAGAAGAAAGACGACAAGAAGGATGATAAAAAAGATGATAAAAAGAAAGAGGAGCCACCGTAAGTACAACATAAGACACAGAAAGTGTATCGGAGAAGTGTATTGAGAAATGTGTCTACAACTGTGCTAAAATATAGAAAACATTGCATCATCATAAACTAATGTTGAGTTGTTTTTAGGAAAGAAATCTGGATTATGGATCCAGCTGCAGACCAGTACTACAGATGGCTGACCGTCATTGCAGGCCCAGTATTTTACAACTTGATAATGATCGTAACGAGGTATTCTCCTTTAAACCTGCTTTAAAACTTCCCTTCACCTTTCAGGATGTATACTTAAGGTTCTCCTTGTTTTGTTTGTTTCCTCCTCGTCTTCTAGAGCCTGTTTTAATGAACTCCAGGACACGTATACAAAGCTCTGGATAGTCCTAGACTACGGCTCGGATGCCATATACTTCGCAGACACGTTTGTTAGGTCAAGAACAGGTCAGATTTTAGGAAATATTCCAAGTCAGAATTTGTGTTTATGGTTATTGTATTTTCCTAATCTTGTGTTTCCCCTTTTAGGTTACTTGGAACAAGGCCTGCTGGTAAAAGATTCAAAGAAACTGAGGGATAAATACAGAACAACATCTCAGTTCAAATATGATATGATCGCAATGATACCAACTGATCTGCTGTTTCTGAAATTTGGCTTCAACAACCCGGAGTTCAGATTCAATCGTCTTTGCAAAATGTCTAGGCTTTTTGAGTTTTTCGAGCGGACTGAAACCAGAACGAGCTTCCCCAACATGTTTCGTATCAGCAACCTCGTGCTTTATATCCTCATCATTATCCACTGGAATGCTTGTTTGTTTTTTGCCATTTCGAAAACCATTGGTTTTGGAACAGATACATGGGTGTACCCCAACATCAGTCACCCGGAGTACGGCCGACTGGCCAGAAAGTACATTTACTCCCTGTATTGGTCCACACTGACCCTCACCACTATCGGAGAGACCCCTCCACCAGTCAGGGATGTTGAATTCCTCTTTGTGATTTCAGATTTCCTCACTGGTGTGCTCATCTTTGCTAGTATCGTCGGTAACGTCGGTGCCATGATTTCCAACATGAATGCCTCTCGGGCTGAGTTCCAGGCAAAAATTGACTCGATTAAACAGTACATGCAGTTTCGAAAGGTCACCAAAGACTTGGAGGCCAGAGTCATTAAGTGGTTTGACTACCTTTGGACAGAGAAGAAGACCTGTGACGAGAAGGAAGTATTGAAGAACCTCCCAGACAAGCTCAGGGCTGAGATCGCCATCAACGTCCATTTAGATACTCTGAAAAAAGTGCGTATTTTCCAGGATTGTGAAGCCGGTCTGCTGATTGAATTGGTGCTCAAGCTGCAGCCACAAGTGTTCAGCCCAGGAGATTACATCTGTAAGAAGGGAGATATTGGCAGGGAGATGTACATCATCAAGGAGGGGAAGCTGGCTGTGGTGGCCGATGATGGGGTCACTCAGTTTGTCGTGCTCAGTGATGGCGCATACTTTGGGGAAATCAGTATTTTGGGTATCAAGGGCAGTAAAGCAGGCAACAGGAGAACAGCCAACATCAGAAGTGTCGGCTATTCTGATCTCTTCGCCCTGTCCAAAGATGACTTGGTGGAAGCTCTTACTGAGTATCCAGATGCCAAAAAAGCTCTGGAGGAGAAGGGAAAAGCCATCTTGATGAAAGACAACCTGATCGATGAGGCAATCGCCAACGCTGGTGCTGATCCAAAAGACCTGGAGGAGAAGATTGTGAAACTTCAGGGCAACCTGGACGTCATGCAGACAAAGTTTGCCAAGCTGATGGTGGAGTTAACCTCCAGCCAGACGAGGATGAAGCAGAGGGTCACAGAAATGGAGACCAAAGTGAAATCCATACGACCCGAGGACCTGGCAGAAGTGATGGCCGACAAAGACAATAAAGTAAAGTAAAAATAAAAAGCTACTTGAGGACTTTAAAGGGAATGAAGGAATTTTCACTTAGAATACTTTTTAAAGGCCCATGTTTATATCTATTTATACGTCTCTGTTCATATTATCATCATAATGTGTCAAAACATGTACAGCAAATGCATATTTTTGAGTGTATTCTTCACAGTATTGAATTTATTTATTGATAATTTCATGTTGTCATGAACTTCATGAGTATGTTCAACAGAGGCACTTGTGTATGCAAGAGGTTGGCTTCCCACAGCCTTAGAATAATGACTTTTTTTATTTTTAATGCAAATACAGGATCAAACAATCCGTTTGAGACTGTATGTGAATGTAAAAAATACATTGTAATGCAGTGATGTCCATAAGTTATTGTCAGAAGGCACAATCAGTTGTAAGTTACAAAGTTAATTGTTAATAAACATTAAAATGTTCTTGTAACATTTACTGTGTCTCGATTTTATTTTCACAGGTAACGAAAATGTGTTTTTTTTCTTTATTGTGTTGTTTTGATGCCTCTAGTTTGGCATTCTTAGCCATCAAATTCATGTTTTTGGAGCCCCAAATTTGGAACTAATGCTGGAAACAAATCGCAAAACTTTAACTTCTGCTCATCTATCACAGGTAGGCACGACCTAAAGTTCTTAATTAATAATACCGATAATTGAAATAATGATATTATTGCTATTTGAAATGTATGTACGCACAATGTTGAAGTTTCTTTTGTACAAAAAGAGATCTTTGAGTATTTTTACGTCACTACAATTTCTTATAGCATGTGGACTATTCAAGAAAACAGACTGACCAACAGTGACAGCCTGTGCAGAGAGAGCACAGTGCAGGGGCCTAGGCAGATCAGGGCCGTAAAGTGCAGTGCACTGGCAGGCCTGTGTGGCCAGAGGGCTGTGCAATTTAGTTTATGTGAAAATGAAATTAATTAATTCATTTTATGGTACCTAGAAACTTTAATATGTGTTTTTGCTGCAAAACCAGAATTGTAAAACACACTTGGCAGGATATTAGGACCCAGCATTAAATAGTTATCCATGCAGTGCTCATTATTTTAATCTATGGCTTATTTGCTGAGATTATTTATTTATTTATTTTTATTTTGAAATACTTCATTAATCCCTGAGGGAAATTCTGTTTTACACTCTGTTACTGAGAGACATGCTTCTCACACACATAGGCCCGAATCACACACATGCACAAACAAGAACCTGTTTCCGTAATTTGGTCCGCACTGGGACTTGAATCGGCGACCCTCCGGTTTCCAAACTGTAGAGGACAGCCCTGTATGCTATATTATGACCTTAGGCAATAGGCTGATGTCATTTCCTGACTTCAGGCTGACATCATGTTATGATGTTCGGCTGAAGTCATCCCAAAGTTGGGCTGACATTATGATGTTGGGCTGATGGTCTTATTTGTCCAAGTCAAAGTCAAGTCAAGCCAGGGTAGGTAGCTCCTCACTCTCACAGTGCAGTGTCAGGCCTGCACAGTGAGGCATGTGTAGCAGTAGGCCTGTGCAGTGACATGCCTGTGTGCCCACAGTGCAGTGCAGTGACAGGCCTGTGTGCCCACAGTGCAGTGCAGTGACAGGCCTGTGTGCCCACAGTGCAGTGCAGTGACAGGCCTGTGTGCCCACAGTTCAGTGCAGCCAAGCCAGGTGAGGTAGCTCCTTCTTTCAAAGGTAGATTCTTTCTGGGGAGAGGGCTCTGCAGTTATATGCTTGAGAGTATAATGCAGTGATAGGCCTGTGCAGTGAAAGGACCATGCAGTGAGGGCCCAGTGCACTGTCAGGATTGCGCAGTAAGAGACCTGTGCAGTGAGGTCACATTGCAGGGATAGGCATGTTCAGGGATAGGCATATGCAGTGACTGACCTTTGCAGAGAAAACACTGTGCAGTGAGAGGTCTGTGCAGTGACAGCCCGTTGCAGTGACAGGCCTGTGCAACCACAGCGTAGTGCAGTGACAGGCCTGTCCAGCGGGAGGCCAGTCCAACCAGAGGTCTGTCTAGCCACAGGCCTGTGCAGTCAAAGTGCAGTGCAGATAGAAGCCTTTGCAGTTTAGTCACTAAAATTAAGTTATTTGCCGTTATATCAATGCTACGTTTAGAGCGGAGAACAACATACTGGAGAACAGAAAACATAATGCAGCCGTTTAATTATGTGCACAGAGATCGTAGTGGTTGCATACATACAGTCTGTGCACCGTGCAGCAGTAACAGTATAGAAACGACACTCCCCCTCCTATTGGCTTGAGGTGAAATATCCAGAGAATATCGTGCATCATTCTCACATCAGCTCACTCCGACTTGCTGTGGAAAAAAATCCTAGGGGTCTGGCAGGAGAAACTCCGGGTGAAGTCCGATCGAAAATTTCAGCTATTTGCATTCACATATACAGCTCCTCCTGGAAATATCAGGAGTTTTTCTCGAGTCTTCTGCAAGTGTGAATGCCCTAAATTAGTGCCTGTTGCCAGTGGCTATTCTAGAGTCTGGTTGTGCCAAAGTCAAAAATGAACAGGGGGCCCCTCCAACCATTAATCTCCATCATAAGTAATGAAATAATTCTTCTTCATATGTTTTCATATGTTTGTGACTTTCATTGACAAACTTTTTTGTCAGTAGGAGTAATGCACACAATGCTTGCAACAAGAGAGAGCTGTCAGATGGGGGCTCCTTTGGGAGGCTTCCTACTGTTATTGCAAACTGCACATTTTGAGCCAATGCTGTAGTTTAGAGTTTGTCAGCCCTCTGGGGCCCCCTATTGGCCTGTGGACACAAGCAGTTGCCTACCTCCCCTGTAGACAAGCAGTGCCTCTACCTGAAGCTGCTGCTTAAAATCACCTGTTTAATGTTGTTACTGGGAATTTCAGCCATATATATGAATTACACTTTGATATTTTCATCTTTATTTACTTTGCATAATAGTTGCTTTACATAAGAGTTTCACATTTTCTGCACATTCTTAATGTACCTGAGATATTTGGCCAAATAAAACACTTCATGTGACTCTTTCCCTTATGCAGGCATTGCACATTTGGCAACTTCACTTACAAATGTGCAAGCATGAAACACTTAGGAGCAAACAAACCAAAGGAGGGGAAACACTTCTTTCAGGATGTGAAAGTCTGAACCGACCAGTCAGTTAAGTACAGTACATTCTGAAAACCTGCAAGCTTTTAAAACCACCAAGTCAGGTTCACTTTTTTTCAAAACACACAGTATTATTTTTTTAGGTAAAACAAGAGGCACAACACAGAAACACTTAAAAATAACCCTCAGGTTTGTGGTGAGATCTCTCTGTTCTTACACAGACAGGAAATACTTTAAATATAGGCTCGTCAGTGCGGCTAATTGGGCAAGCAGTAATATAAAAAGCTTCACCTCAATGTACTACGATGACAATCATAACCAGGAGCACCATTAGTCAGTTCACTATAATGTGGGAAGAGAGACTGACGACTGAATACTGCTACGCCAAGAAGAACAAGAAAAGTCAAACAAAGTCAATAAATATACTGTATGTGCTGACATTCACTGAAATCATGTGTATAAGTGCACTTTCACAGCTTCACAAATCAAATATTATTAGAACAAAACAAACTAAATATTTAAAGGGTTATCTGGTATCTTTAAACCTGGACTGATTTTATTTACAATATATTTTTTATATATTTGGGGGTCTAAAACACTCATAGGTTATATCTGAACGGCTCAGATTTTATTTTTAAATGTCAGATAAAACTTCCTCTGAAGTAGCCGCTCGAGATAATGAATACAATGCTTTAAAGGTCACATATTCTCCTTTTCAAAAAGTTTAAATAAGTCTCAGAGGTCCGCAAAACATGTCTGTGAAGTTTCTTGTTCTGAATCCACTCTGATCATGTATTTGATCATGTCTATAAACCCCTCTATTTCAGACCTGCTCAGAACAGCCTGTTTCTGTGTCTGTACCTTTAAATGTAAATGAGCTGTGTTTGACCACGCCCCTCTCTGGAAAGGGATGTGGCTTGGGCTTTCTCGCTCCATGCCTTGTTGTTTACGCGAAGATGGCAGACTCAGAGGGCAGAACACACACCTAGCTGTGCGAGTGTCATCCACCTGGGGGAGGGGTTACTGCCCTTTGTGATGTCACAAAGGGAAAACCTCCAAATGGCCTGTTTGAGTACTCTCTTTCTGAAAAGTGGAGCAGGCAAAAGATGAAGAGGATGGACTTTTACAGGTTAGAGACACATATTAGTGTTATAAGAAAAACATATTCAAGTGTATTTTTCAGATGTGACCTTTAAATTTAAAAAAAAAGGCAGCTGTCACATTGCTCTCTTCGACGCCAACATTGATAAAAACTGAAATTTACCTTGCAGAAATGGGAGTTGTAGGTTCACCTCTGCCTTAATTGGTAAAGTTATTTGTGCTTTTGTGAGACTACGTCCTGCATTTAAAACATCAAACAGGCTCCTATGTCTTGTCTGCTAATAACCTTTTAAATAGCCCAATAAGATATTTATATATCGTTTTTTAACTAGTTGGGTGGTACAGCTGGCTGTAAAACAAATAGCCCATCAGGGATAATTAAGATAGCCTTGATTCTACTTGGCATATCATAACATTTTTTTAGAAGTAGCCGATCAAGGCTGTGGTGGACGAGCAGCTCTGGTAGTACCAGAAGTCTGGTGGCTTTGATGCAAACAAAGAAATGGTTCTTCCTCAGCGATGTTGACAGTTTATGTTTCAGGTTTGAATAAAGCGTTTTTTTATTTAAGTAATAATTTAGTTTTCTCTTAGAGAGCTGGAATAAAACTCTGAATCAGTCAATAACAAAAACTTTGGGAACTTTTGCCCCGAATAAGAGATTACTGGCTGAGTTGAAAACCGTTTTTTCATATTAGCCTTTTAAACCCTCAAAATTCGTAAAAAAAAAAAAAAAAAAAAAAAGGCCCTGGGTTGAATATACCAAGGTATCCCTTTAAGCGCCGTGCTAAATTCTTTGGAAAACCTAATGATCTGTTTTCAAAACTACCTCTCAAAGGACGTAAGGCCTTGAAGAGTGAGAGGCTGACAGTTGGGTATGACGTTTGTTAGGCACAAGATTATTGCAGCATTTGTTTCATGTACTTTCCCTCACTACTCTTTTGTAATCTCCCTTTGTTTTAATCAAACTTTCTACGACAATCTGTCACAGCATCCCAAATCCTTTGGCATAAGTGATGGCCTTGAGGAGTCTTTCTCTCAGTTTTTCCTTGGAGGAGTACTCTGGGAGCAGCAGTGCGTTGAAGCAGGTGTGAGAAGTTGGCAGCCTGAAAGAAAGCACATAAAGAAATAAGAGCGCTGCTGGGCCTTGCACCAAAAATGGGACAACTATGAAATGAGTCAAGCTTAGAATGAATTATCAGCATCAGCCAAATGTTTTTTAAACTTTGTTTGTTTGACAGGAAAAAGAACAAAATCACAAAGGAAGCATCGTCATGTCAGTAACTGGAGTATTTTTAGGTATTTTGGATCCTAAAGGGCAGACCAGATGCCTTTTTTAAATCTGCCCTCTAAGCAAATGAGGCCAAGGAGGCTCTATTTATTTGTGCCTGAAAAGATCTAAATAAAACCTCTAATACGCTGACTGTTCTGTACCTGTCTGTGTCAGAGCCGTTCTTGGCGATGATCATTTTTAATTTTCCGAGCCCACCAACGGGCGCTCTGTCTGTGCCCGTGGTGAACTGAAGAAACAACCGCTTCTGCTCCTCGCCAAACGAGTGGATCGTCTCCCAGAAATCTCTGCAGAAAATAAATATTATTTATAAACAGGTCTTGATATTAACACCCGCCTTCATGCCAAATGTGTAGTAGTGTATAACAGTCTCTCCCACCAGCCAATTGCTTACATATATTTTATGATGGCGAGAGAGAGAGAGAGAGAGAGAGAGAGAGAGAGAGAGAGAGAGCAGTATAAGATAAAGAACAGTGCAGCACATACACTGTATCTGAATATGTGTATATTGAGTGTCTACGAGTGAAAACTAAAATTATTGATCACTGACCACTGTAATATTTTTAAAGATATGGGTGTGTACAGTGGTCCTTTACATTCAAAAAGGTTTTAAATCTAGTTCAAGTCAATATTAGAATGCCACAGTCAACTTTTATCATGTGAAACATAATGTCCTATCAACAAAATTGTGACTAGTGAAAATGCTGAGTGGCTAGTAACTTGCCACGGTGGCTGGTGAGCAAAAGAAGTTAACACCTAGTCCTGCCTTTAAATCAATGGTGTGTCTGACAAACATTTGTGCGACCTAAGACTATGACTGGAGTAATGTGTTGAGTAAGTTAAACAAAGTCAGACTTACTTGATTATCTGACTGTCTTTGCTATATCCTCCGTCATATTCTGTTGTCTTCTCGAGGGCTTCAAAGTCGAGTTTCTGTCAAATCCAGAGAGATTGTTGTGTGATTATTTTAACACTGGCAACACTAAAGTAACATAAAAATCAAAGATACGCTTGGTGTCCTCACCCTGCTTCCACAGATGAGCATCTCTACTTCCTCCGGTCTGAACAAATATTTCAGCGGGGACTCGTTTGTGACCATTAGGAAACCTTTCTTGAAGGCCTTGAATTGTCTCTCCACACTCGTGTTCAGTATGTAATCAGCATACAGGTGCACAAACTCCTGGAATATGAAGACAGAAAACAAGGCAGCAGAAGTCACACCTCATGAGTGATTTTATTTCAAAGATAATATGAAAGGAAGTTAATCCTTTCAAACATTGAGTCTGAGCATTCTTTATATTTCAAGGGATTTTTCTAAAAAGAAAAAAGAGAGACAGGATGTACTGTCAAAGGAAAAGGAAGCTGAATGAAGTAACTTACTCCTACATACTCTTAAGTATATTCAGCTCCTGTTGCTCTGCTTGGAGTATGTACACTAAAACTGAAAGAGCTATATGCATCCCTTACTGATTCTAGAAAAAGATCAACACTATCTTCAGACGTGTGAATAATACTAATATGTCTAAGAATTAAATAAACATCAATACCCCCTTTTATAAATGAACATATTAGTCCTTCACACACAGCACTGTTGATGTGTAAAGATACCTCACCTGTCTGTTCTCCTCGGTCACAGGGATCTGGTCCCCTTCCTCCTTTAAATCGCATAAAACCGGGTTCCCGAAAAGGTCTGTGTGTGAGATCTGGAAGGTGAGCATCATGTCTTCCTTTACGTCGCCGCTATATTCCAGCAGATTCTTCAGACTTTGGTGGAGAGCCTTCAAAGACAGAAGGAGACAGAAGGAGTGAGAGGACATTTTTGTTTCTATGGTGTGTAAGTGCTGGTTGTCTTCACTGAACATATATTATTACTATATTATTTTGTCCAAACAATAAAAAAATATATATAATATGTTTTTATTTTATTTCAGTTGTGTTAGTCATAATTTTGATAAATATTGTTGTGTTTTCATTTAGAGTTGAATCTTTTTATTTACTTGATTTCCTCAGGTGTTTTTGCTTTTATCTCTGTTGTTTATTTTATTCCCCATTCATTGCATGTACATCTTTTATATCTCTCAGTGTTTCCCACACAAAGACGATACCTGGGCGGGCCGCCCAAGTAAATGTATGGCCGCCCAGGTATATTCTGACCTGTTTGTATTGAATTTTTCATTTATTCATAAAATTGCTGCGTGCGCAAAACAGTGAGAGAGAGAGAGAGAGAGCGAGAGAGAGAGAGAAGGTCCACTGTCCGTACATCCCTCTTGCTCATATCAAAACTGATGCTTCTCATGGCTTAGTTTTTAAAAATGTTAATGTACAGCTGTTTGCTGCTGATTCTGTGCTGAACTCCTACAAATAACGAAATATCAAACTTTTCAAAACGCAAGGCTTACTCCTGTTTGTGTCTGTGTGCATGCGTGGATAAATTGAGCAGATTAAAGTTCTTTGTTGCAAAAACTAAATTAATTTAGAGGGGGAAACACATCTGATATAAATACAAACTTAATTATTATTATATACCCTGAGAGTAAGGAAAAAATAAATATGTTTTGTATGTATGATTTAAAGTCATACAGTATTTAAGTATTGGACATGTACTACAGTGCAACAGTTTTGTATAAGCAAAAGTAACCTGCTTAATCATTGTGCTCTTTTACCGTTCAAAAACTGCTTCATTATTTTCTTGATTTTTTCAATAAGGTGATAACACTACACACATCCTCTAAATAGCAGCTATATCCAACATATATTCAGAAATACAGAATTGATCTTGTCGTTGAGTATACAAGAACTTCAGAGGGAGTTACTGTACTGGATGTGAGTCTGACAGGTCCAAGGAAGTCCCTTTCTTGCCCATGAGTTTCCTGTAGACCACCATGGGGAAATGAACGTCCAGGATGCAGTTGTTGTAAATGGCCAACCCAAGAACGAGTCCAACCAGGGTGTACTGAGCTTCATTCTCCAGTGAGGACGAGTTAAACCAAAACAGTTTTGTGTCGTCGTCGTAGGTGAACATTCCTGTTCAGAAAAAGGGAGAGAGAGAAAGAGAAAGAGAATGAGAGAGAGAGAGAGAGAGAGAGAGAGAGAGAGAGAGAGAGAGAGAGAGAGGGAGAGAGGGAGAGAGGGAGAAACAAACATGAAAAAATATATAAAACAAACATCTATCTTTCTTTATAGCTCTGATCCCATCATAAGCCAGTCACAAGTCTGTACAATAAACATAGAGAAATAGCTAACTCAGGGCTGCGTTCACATTTATGGTCTGGGGTTGCCACACTGGGTCACTGACTAATGCCAGGATGGCATGAAGTTTGTGTTCACACACAGAAGATAGGGATTATTTACCCTTACACGTACCCTTTGATAGCCTTGTTGCTGTCCTAGAGAAGTCTTAAATGTACTTTTTTAAGATCTTAGTTGTTTTTAACTGTGTGTTTAAACTGGATGAGGATTTGTGGGAGGAAGCCGGAGTACCCGGAGAGAACCCACGCTTGCACGGGAAGAACATGCAAACTCCACACAGAGAGGCTCCTGTCCGACAGGGATTCAAACCAGCAACCTCCTCGCTGCGAGGCAACAGTGCTAACCACTGCACAGTGTAGCTACAACACAGCAAAACAGTTAAATCCGTCCTCTGACAAATAGAAAAACAAACGCTGGGGTGGCAAATCAGATTCAAAGGAGGGCCAATGCCACCCATCTGGACACGACCCTGTTATAATAGTCTAAAAAAGGAGGTTAAAGAGAAAATGTTTATGTCTCACCGATGTCAGGATTAAAAATTTCCTCCAAGACCAACTGGAAGAACTCCTTTGAAACGCCGCCCTCGTCGACACCTTGCTCCCCTTCAAACTCGACAAACAGCTGCTTCTTTAGATCAGACGGGTTCTCCATGGAGATCATCTCCAGCTGCAACACAAATCCACAAGAGTAAATTATCCATTTTCAACGTAGTGGCAGAAACAGTGAATTTTTTAACACAAAAAAAAAGTTTTAAGGGGTTAACAAGGATAAAGGTATATCAAAGATAGGCCAGAACTGATATATGAGAAGCAGTAGCGTTTCAGACTGTAACTCACTCTCACGAGGGCGTCGTCGATGATGTGATCCCTGCGCACTTTAAGCTTGAGATACGGGTTAGGCTGTTGACCCTGGACCATGCTGTAGAGGGCGGTGAGGCGTCGCTCGCTGTACATCCTGATCCGGTTGTCGTAGTAAAGACCTTGGCTCTTGGTGATGACGCTGAGGATGAAGGGGCAGGTCTGGAAAGAAAACTTGGATTCGGCGTTGATCTTAAAGAAGGTGAAGTCCTTGTCCATTTCCACCACCTCGTTTAGAGACTCGTTAATAAAATCCTCAAAGGGGATGAGGGGATTTATGCTATCTAACGCTCTGACACCTAACTCTCTCTCCAGGGGATCCACTCGGGGACCCTTCTTATAGAGTCGCTCCTCACCCAGCAGCTCGTGCAAGGTGAGTTCATCGGACTCCGAGTCTTCCTCCTCGTCCTCGTTGTGCTCCACGTCCACATCTCCTCCCTGGATGCTCGCGTAGAAGACGACTTTCAAACACTGCGTGGCCGCCACCACCGTCTCGTCGTCGTTCACCAAGTTTTCCCCGTCGTATTCGTTGCTGACGACCGTGAACGTTATGAGCTGCTGGAAGGTCTCCATCATGCGGCGGATGTGCCGGAGCTCGTACGTGGACCAGAGTTTAGACAATCTGGCGAGCGCCGCCACAGGTAGTTTACTCATCGCTTTGCAAAACTGCGGCAAAGCGACCTCCAGGTACTCCGGGCTGTGGAGGTTACTGTTCTCCATCACTATAATGAAGATGTTCAGGTAGTCTGGGTTTGTTTCGTACACATCAAGGTATTCCAGGTCGAGTTCCATGTTTGGAGTGAGGTATATGATGGCGTTGACGAGAGCGGCCTCCACCTGCTCGTTGGTTAGAAGTTTGTCGTAGACTCTCCGCACGGCTTCGATGTCCACCCTGACTTCGAGAGGGTCGTCTGTACCACAAGGACTCTCCTCCGGTAAAGCAACTGCACCCAGACTCTCCGAGGGTCGTTCACTTTGGTTCTCCTTCTTGTCCGACTCATCCGTCGTTTTGAAAGAGTTTTCAGCAGCGTCCGGATCATCCTTCCTGAAACTCTTCATTAAGATTTCTGTGTTTGAGAAAACCCGGCCGATGACCCGGACCAGAGCGGAGTAGTCCCCTTCCTCCTCGCAGGAACTCAGGAGCATACATATGGTGGCCTCTGTGAGGTAATGAACATCTGTGAGAAAAAACAATGACAAGAATAAAATGAGCAAATACTTTAAAGCAGTCGCGGTCGGTTTCCAAAAGAGCGTCTGAGTGCGTTTTACCTGAGAAGCCCTCTTTGGTGGGACAGGGGTCTCCATCACTCATCTTACCGTCCTCGTCGTCGGCACTGGAGTCTTTCTTGGAGGGGTGAGGATTGCAGAGTTTGGCATTAATCTTAAACAGCTCGAGCGCTTTGGCTGCTGCTGAATTGTTATCCAAAGGTTGAAAATCACAACACGACGCACAAAACTCATTCGTGCAGGCGCCATTTCCACAGCCTTCAGTTAACTGCCGAAAGTAGCGCTCGATTAGATGCTTTGCAGCCGCTCTGTTCCTACAGGATATTTAAACAGAGAGTCAGACTGATGAAGTCAACAACATTTAAGAAAGAAGGCAGAAACACATCTTTGCAATGCACATACTAATACAGACTGAAACCCAACAGAACTGAACAATGAACAACATGCAGGTCACACATCATACTTCAGTGTTTAGAGGCTGGACGCTGTGTTTCTACCAAAGGAACAGGGTCTGAACTGTTTGTTTTAAAGAACTCTGTTAATAACTCTAGACCTCAATTACTTTCCCAGGTTCTTTCAATTCATATTTTTGTCAAATTGATTCATATTGTCCATATTTGTATCAGGTTTTTATTGTATTCGGAAGCATTGTCACATCTAGGGCTGGGTATCGAATTCGATACTTTTTTGGAAGGGATTGAATCAGAATCAGATTTATTGGCCCGGTATGCTTACACACACAAGGAATTAAACATCGGTGAACAGTGCTCTCTTATGTACAGGTACAACATTAAATATCAACACAGAGGGTTGTGACAGAGAGGTCAATTGACATGTCAATTACAGTATTGACATAAATAAGTGTGCGTATATTGATCATTTAAATCAAATAATATATATATACATATATGTATATTCACAGTGAATTGCTTGGATACTACAGAGTATTGAAAAATGGCTTGTCATTTGATACCAAATTTTGATACCTACAGAGCTTGATGGTCCGCACCATTACCATGCCTGCGGTGCGCCATCTGCATATCATTTAAACGTCGTCTCGTTTAAAATATATTCTCCTCCCTCGCCCCCTTGTCATCCTCTCTCGCCGGATTGTGTCCCGGCTGTATGAAAAGGAGCGCAGCCAATATCATCAGCCAATAAGAATGCAGCATGCTTGTTGTAGCAGGATCTGATAATGCTGGTTATTGGCTGCTTAACCAGACGGGGCAACGGGGGAGAGGCTTGACTACAGTGTGCATCGTGAAGTTTAGAAAAATGTCCAAGAGATCAAAACAGACAAGTGTTAAAAAAGACAACTTTAGTTAAAATGCATTGTGGCAAAATGGTTTATACTCTCATGTTATGAAACTGCTTTGAATGTTTTAAAATGCCATGGAGATGAAAAAGAAAACTAAAGATTTGTATCATAATGTGTAATGTTTTTTTTTTTGTTAAAATGGATTTTATAAAATTGGTATCGAAAAAAGTATTGTTAAGAAATGTTTTAAACGATACCCAGCCCTACATCTCTATTGAAAAGTCGGCAGAGGAAAAGTAATCTATTGGATGGGTTGTGCCTAAATATTATTACACTCTGAGGAAGTCGTGGCTGTCACTAGTATGTTTAAAAAGAGTTCATGAAATAACATAAGAAAATGTTCTGGTGGCTGAATTGTAAGTGCTTTATGTTACAAAAAAAAACTAATGCAGCTGTGACAGTTTTTACTGAGGGAAATAACGACATGGGTGTGAACCTGTGTAACACAGGTTTGGCCTTTTCACATGCTAGCAGACTCATTTGCCAAACGTTCATGGAAACACAGACGACATGAGCTGGAGGAACCTTCACGTCCCTCAAAAAGAAACTAAACTAAAAGTCCCTGAATCCTTTTGGTGAAAACACAGCTGAAGACATAATGACACAGTGACATAAAGAGGTGCAGACATGTATATTAGTTTAAGTAGCTTAATGGATATTAGTGTAGCCACATGGTTAACTGTTTGAGTGCAGGTCGAACAGAGTGACTTACATTCGGCTGGATTCAGGTCCCTCCCGTAGGCCCAGTTTACAGTCCACTGAAAGAACAAATTCAGCCATCATGTTGATTTATTTTTTACCTCTGAATATCCGTATAGGTATTTACAGCAGATTCATAGGATGAAGTTGACTTTTCTCACTTTCATAAATTCCCGAGGACATCTATAAGTCCTGAAACAGTAAAAAGATCTGAGTGATGGGCCAGAGTAACATTTAAGATTGAGCTTAGAATTTATTCTCGAGCTTTTGACTTTATCATCAAATTGCAAAAAAACAGAAAATATCTTCCTTTCATTGTTGTTGTATCATTACTGATGTCACTTAAACTGGATGTTTTTATTTTATTTCAACTTCATTCGTTATATTTTGTGTTCTTTCTCCGACATTTTGACATCTAGACATCTTTTCTAGATGTTCGTTATGTCTCAACTTTCAGACTTTATTATCAAGGCCTGCAACAAGACCGAACATTTGACTTAATTCTTAATATTTTAAACGTTTACACTTTGTTTTGTACATCAATGCGTCAACAATATTTGACTTATTTGAGAATTTAACTTTATTTTCTTTCGCAAAATTGCAAAAAAAAAGTAAAGAAAGTTATTATTATTTTGAATTGTTTTTGAATTAAGTGTTTTTTCCCCTTTTAATTAATGCTTTGTGGAAGAGGGGCAGATATTATAAGATTAGTCTTCTTTCTGCCTTTTCATTTAAAATTTGAGATTTTATGTTTGTTTGTTTTTTCTTAACTTATTGTTTGTTTGAATGAAATAAAATTTACAAATTTTACCAAAAAATGGTTTTGATTTTCCTACGCCTGACACCAACACTGAAAGTGGGATTTTATTCTTGGCATTTCAAATACTCATGGGATTGGGTAATTTTATTAAGATGCAAAAATAGCTTTAGACATCACAAATCTTTGTCATGTTTTTCAACTTAATGCTTGGCCTTTGAACACTTGTGTATTTATCCATAAAGGTCATAAACATTTCTCATGCATTGTATCTTTATTTGAGTTGATAAAATGAATATAAAATGACAACTATACAGAACAAATGTATGATGTCCTTCTTCAGTGTATTAGGCATGGTGATATATTCCATGTATTAGTCAACAACCACGTTTCACAACACAAGGTGATTTAGCAGAAAGTTGGCAGCAGCCTGAGGTTTACTGTCAAACAGCACTGCTTCCTGCTTTAAAGCTCCCAGCTAGTTTTTTATTACACAAATAAACAGTACAATGCAGTGTGATAAATCGGGTATTTGTATGCACTGACCTGTGATTTGAGCAGGGGTTCAGTCCTGTGTGTCAGCCTGTCAGTGACTGTGCAGAAAAGAGCTGTTCAGTCAGAGAGACGGCTCGGGTTAAAGCGACATTCAGTCCTCCACAGTCAGAGTGAACCTGCTTCACCTGGAGACACACACCTTTAATTCGGCAAAGTTAGATAACGTTGTGAAGTCTAAATACTTTCAGTTTAAAAGTCAGAGCGAAATATCCTCCTCTACCATCTTGTAAACAAGAGCGAAATATATCCCGGCATGCACCGCGCGAAGCTGTCAAACATCACACCCCCTCCCACCCTACGCTCCCACCTCCCACAGACACAGGAACACACCGAAATATTGATTTATCATTTATCATAACAGTACAAGAACCGAAACATCCCGATATTTTCATTTTTAACGTGTATTTGAATGAAAACAATGTGATTCACGTCGTGATCTACAATTTGTCATCAATATTATCTGCTGAAAAGAGCCATTAAAAATAGTTGTCTCCCATAGAAAAACATTTCAAATAATTAAAAACAAGATTAATTCAATGAGCAGAAAGTTCAAGAAGAAAAGTGAAATAAATAAGTATTTAACGGTAGAACAAAGATAGAGGAATTTAAATTAATAATTTCAAACAGGTAAATCTGGTAAAACCTTAAAGAGCCGAAATGAGTCGTTATCACGGGCTAACAGACTAAAATAAAATGTATGGATATAAGTCCACTTAGGTCTACCTTAAAAATCAGATGTTACTGAAAATCATCAAGACAAATTATGATTGAAGGAATTTTTGTATTATGATTTTGTGAATTGAAGACTAAGGGAAACTTTTATTTAATTTTAAGGTAGCCTATAAAGTGTTTCTGCGAGCAGCCTTTTCGTCTGCAAATTTTACTTCATATTGTACGAGTTGGTTTAACCAAAATAATCCTTCACTTTTCCTGATAATAAAACAGTTTATGATTAGATATCCCTCCGCGGCTCTTTTTCTAATTCATTCAAAGTAAAGAGAGCAGCAAACTGACGCCTGTATTATGAGGGACTATTTGCTAATAATAAATACAGTAAATGAGTAAAGTAATACTCCAATGATAAGTCCCTGAACTGAATTCACAAGTTGAGCTTTAATATCAATGTGCTGTAGCCTTCATTTAGTGTGAAGACTTATTTAGATTCTTTATCATGACTTAGCTTATTTCCTCTATTATGTTGTGCTCCTGTATCCCTGTGTGTAGTTTAATTTTAATAGTTCCTAGCTTAGTCTTTATTGTTTCCTGTTTTCTTCTTTATTTCTTCCCCAGTGTTTCATGTCTAGTTTAACTTCCTGCTCTTGAATGTTTTCCCTCCAGTTTGATTGTCCTCATCAGTTTCACCTGTGTCATGTCTGTGTCACACCTGATTTTGATTACCCCTTATGTATTATCTGTTCCTTCCCTACTGTATCAGTTTGTCATGTGTGAAATGTCAAATCTACATCCTGTCTCCATCAGCTTCTTGTGTGGATTTCTCAGCAAACTATTGTGTTTTTTTCTTCAGTTTCTGAAGTTTGATAATTGTACACTGAAAACAGTCAGCTCTCATGTTTGCCTTTTTGTATTTTGTCTTGATTACATACATTTATGTTGCTCTGCAAATGTGTCCTCTTCCTTTGTTTAAACCCTGAATGTGACAACCTAAAATACACATTTGTGGTTAAAGTAAAAATGCTGCATCCCCGACTAACTAAGAATCCTGGATGCTCGCTGCGTTGATGGAGGCTGATACAGTCGCAGTGCAATCTCTAAATCATATTCATAAACCATAAATCAAAGCAAGCGGATATAGCAGGTAGTCAAACCCCTGCAGTCTCATTCTGCTACAGGCCTTTTGTAAATTATGCATTATCTAATCTATGTGCATGGCTCTTGTGGTGCTGAGGAGATGTTTGTTATTCTGTCAGCACCGGAGCCTCATATAGAGTTTTACACTCTGTGTGACATTTGGTTTCTGCTCATATAAGTCTCTGTGTCACACTGAACACTAAGAGGGCTTCACCTTGAACGTAAAGCCGCACCAGAAGCAGAAGAAAATACTTATACTGTAAATACAGTGAGAAATGCCAGTATGGGCTAAATATCTTTCTACACTATCTGAGCACGCTTACTGGCTTACTGGCTAATCAGAGCATCTTCCTGAAAGCTAGCAAGCTGCTTTGATATTTTCCATTTTTTTTTAAATGTGCAAAAAAAAGCTTAATGGTTGTGTTTAGAGATTCAAATCCATATCGTGTTTATAGGGTGTTATTACCTTCCTCTTATTTCTGTTCGAGTGTTTTTAAAAACATTATTGTGGCTGCAGTAACTGTTTATGACCACTGGGAGTCACTGTAAGCACAGAAGCATCAGGAATGACTCCCACAAGGTTATCCCTTTCTTCTTTTCCATATTGGAGATAATGTATGTGTTCTAATATTGTAGATATAGAAACACACTTTTCATTCATTTATAAATGATATCTGCACACAGCTTGCATAATGTACAGGACTTGTTACAGGATGCAACAATGAGCTATTTCAGGGGACAGAAGTAGACATAAAGAATGATCATGAAGGTTTGGTGTTTTGAATGCTCTGGATGATCTGCAGCACATCTCAAGAAACAGCCAAAACTCACAACCTGAAGCAGGTAAGCAAAAATAGGAAAACACAACAAACAGGCAGGAAACATTCAACACCTACCTCAGGGGGAATCAAACACCTGGAGTAGAAACAAAATAAGCAATGCAGACCTGTAGGTGAAGAAGTCAACCACATACTTACAGAAGAGTCAATGCAGAGTAAATGTGGAGGTGAGCTTCATAATTACAGGCTTCTAATACCTACATGTTAGTGACATCAGGTAATCCTATCTTGGTTTTTATCCTGATAAAATCTGTTTATGTTGTTTATAACTTTTAATATCATACATTTCATACATTTTGTTTTTTCTACAAAATGTAATGAAACTTTGGAGTTGGCATAACATTTTAAGTTGGACCCCCCAGTATATTTTGCTCTTGAATTGCTGAATTGTTACCATGATATTATACATCAAGTAGATAATATGATTGAAGAAAAAAGATCTTGTCCCAATAGAATAATTCATTAAATACTGTTGATATCAAAATTAAAACATACGATTCAAAGCTCCTGTGAATAGTTTGGATTGGTTATGAAATCTTATGAAACTGATTCTGATGCCTCTTAATGAACCTGCAAAGTAAACAAAACCATCAGCCATCCATCAGAGTATTCAGATTACTTTTTTGTAGTGACGAGTAAAGTAACGTGTGTGTTTCCGCAAATCAAGTTAACTGCTCATTTCATTCTCCATTAGAGTAATCAGTTACTGAAAAATGTGCTGCATTTCCCTCTTCCTTTTGTCGCCTTAAAAAAGGAAAGAAAAAAAATCCCGGAAACATCTGCAGCTTCTGTTTCTCTTCCTCTGGGCGGTAGCTGGTCATGATCTGAAGGTCAGCCTTCAGATGTGTCAGCGTGCATGCCAATTCAGCAAGCAGCTTTTATACTTTGTGGAAATATTCCCATTATTTATACTTTTCTTATATGTTATATTGTGTATGCCTGTTTTCTGGCTGCAGAGTTACAGATTATGACACAGATTGCACAGCCTGTCAAAGGCACATGTAGCAAGTTAATTGGCTACATCATGTTCAATAATGCAAGAGTACTATTGTAATGTTACAAGTTCTTAAGTTTCTAAAGAGACATTGCCCAACACTGTCTATATTATTATTTGAAATGCCTGAAACCACTGCAGCAGGGTGTTGGACAAAATGACTCACAGCCTGCTGCAGAAACAATCCTTTCTTCTTTTTCCACAACAAGCATTCAAAATGAGTGATACATTTAACGGTTTAAAGACAGCAAGTTGATATGTTTTCTTAAAAAAACACTTGCTTATAAAGAGGACAAGATCAGTGAAGAGATGGGATTCTGCTATGTCCACAGGGGGGCGCCAAAATCAACACAAGAATCTTTAGCGGCTTTCAGGTACTTTTAATTTGTGTGGATTTTTGGCGCCCCCCTGTGGACAAAGGATGTAGCATGCTGTCATAATAATGGCACTTTTTATCCTGATTTGTTAATCTTAAAAAGTCTGAATCTAGACAAAGTTAATACAATCAAGATTTTCTTTTTTAAAAAAAGGCCTAAAAAGATGGATTACTTGATCCTGGATTGCAAAAAGCTTGATCCATCATTTTAAACGGACTTTTCTGCTCAGGTTGTGTTCTGTTAAATGTTTCAAAAGGAGGAAATTGAGGTTTTAGCAGACTTTAATTCAGGTAAAGCTTGAACACTCGACATTAGCCGATAATGTCGACCATATCTTTTCTCAGTGTGTGTGATAATCCCTGCTCGAATCATTTCCCTCCATGCCATTTGATATGGATTAAGAGTGTCTAAAATTGACATCATCTCGGCTCGTCTCTTCCCTGGATCGTGTTAATTAACCTGGACTGTTCTGTGGCGTTGCAGGAATGTAGCTGCAGGCGGGTGCAGGGTTCAGGAGAGGATGCTGAAGGTTGCGTGTGAGACAGCCTGCAGCGTGGAGAGCAGGATTATTTGATCACGGTTGTAAAGTGATTCCAGGAAGTGAGCCACTCAGAGAACACGAGCCAGAGGTCAGCGAGGCCATCAAAGACAGAGCTGATGTCTTCACGGAGGAGGAGTCATGAAGCAGAGACAGAAAGATTACAACTCTGATCAGCCTTCTCACCTCTCCATTGTAATCCCAGATCATCGGCTCAGGGGGATTTAAAACCCTCCAGCTCAACGTGATGTCACAACAAACAGACAGTCAGCTGGACTGTTTATAGGACCAAGTCCAGGAATTTGCTTTTATATTTGTTTATGTGAGACTGTTTTCACAGCTCTGTTTGAAACTTGTTCCTGCCGTTTTTTAATGTCTAGTTTGTGTTTTTTTTTTATTCATCCAGTGGGTTCGCAAACCCAAAAGTGCAGATATTCATGGTCCTCAGAGGGTGACTAATATTAGTTCTGGAGATCCACTGACTCCTGCTGTGCCACAACAAAGCTTTGTTGTTTTGGTCAACTATTGGATGAGTTGCAACAGGATTTTGAGCACACATTCATGATCCTTAGAAGATGATGCAATTACTTTTTCAAAAAGTGCCTTAAAGATGTTGACACTTTTATTTTTAATTTTTTTACTGAAATATATAAAATTGGATTAAACGCCACATTGGATTTGTTTTACAGTCATTCATGGTCTCTAAGGTGATGAACTGTAGAGAGTCTTGATAATCATTCATGGATAAGCAACTCCAAAAGAAGGACAAACTGTTCATTATTCAAGTAAAATATCCCACCGTCCATGAAATGTATCTTTACAAATCTTGCACAGACATTCATGGTCCTCAGAGGAAACATAACTTAAGACATTCAGGATCCACTGACTCTTGTTACACCTCTATCCAAACTGACAGGCCTGATTTGATCGCTCTGCTTTATCACTTCCTAGTCTAAATTGGATCTTAATAAATGAACGTAATGCTGTTTTAAAGAAGTCTTGTAACTAGTAAATGAGGCCATGAACTCATAATAGGAAAATGTTTCCTGAAGTGATAAATATTTTCATTTTCTGCACAGATAGGCCAATTTTTTTTCTCTCTTTAAAGTTGACCGAGTATCTGATCCCCATTTTAAAACTCGATTGTCACAATGCTGGATGCCCATAATCTGAGGACAAGTTCTGTATATCACATGATAGTTCTCAGAAATTAAACCGAGAATTTCACAATTCGGCTTCAAGCCTCTACGTAAGCTGTTGAAACCCCTTACATAGGCTCTCTTCTCTTAGCACTGGAGAGCTGCCATCCCCCGGCAGCCCTGCAGCATTCTGCACTCAGAAGGCTTCCAGAGAGCTGGCCAATCAGGAGAAAGTGGGCATGTGAGGAGGGGGGCCTTAAAGAGACAGCAGCTGAAAAAAACCGTTCAGGCAGAGGCTAAAATTAACTTTTTTTTTTTTTTACTGATGCCAGTATAAGATGAATAAGGAGTTTACTGACCTGACTGACAACATGACCCTGATGAAGGCAACAAGCCGAAATGCATCGGTCTAATTTGTTAATAAAGTTGATCTTCATACTACAACTGTTGCTAGAGCTTTTTTAACCTCTTCTAGCCTTTCACTCTTCATGTACCGACTCTGCTTCTCCAGACTGACAACATGAAAGGTGAACTATGTATAATATGAGATCTTTAAAGAGAGAGCAGGCTTAATGTCACTTCTGCATTACCTTCCCTTTTTAAAACCCGAAGGTGATGTCCACTCCTAATTTCTGAGACTGTGCATAAATATAGCGCTCAGTGTCACATCTGTATAAATGTTTGAAATAAGAAGCCTTCAGGAGACGGATGATCTTTGGCACGGTGCTGCAGCTGTTTGTCTTCGCCTGCTGTGCTTGTGCCTAACATCTGCCTTCCAGGGAGGTTTGAGGCGGTTGTTAATGTTGCTCTCTGAGGGCCCAAAGAGGGTAGAGGGGGACGCACAGAGCTCTGCTGATGCTGCCTTTAGTGGGACGGCCTGATTACTGACCAGCGCTGCACTTTGAGGGGAGAACAGGTTCCTCATGTGAACACAGATAATGATGACTCCTCTGTCCTCACTGTGCTGCTCCCTCTGTCTCTTTCAAAGCCTGAGTGTACAAGAGCTCGATTGATCAGCTGTTTTTTTTTCTCTGCATACTGTGTGTGTGAGAGAGGAACTTTAGTGCAAACCTTTAGTCTTTGCAAATCTATTTTTGGTAAAGTTGAATCTGCTCTCAGTGGTGTTAGATAAGCAGCATGTGCAATTAAATGAATTTTCACATATAAAAGTCCTGCAACAGATTTATATTTAATTCAGGAAAGGTTTCATTCATTTTAATGCGTGTCAGTGCTCTATAGGTAGACAGGAGACTGATTCTGCAGGAGCTAATGTTGTTTGATTTGCATTTTATCATCGAGGAACTACATTGATTCTGCTCATTAAAGTCGCCTTGTTCTGCTTCATGAAACATTATTTTTAACAAGCTTAAATCAGGACGTTTTCAATTTCCTGAACTGCCAATGAAGCTGCCACCGAGCTGGATTATAGAAATAGTTTATGTTTTTCAAACCTCTTGCAGCCTCTCCTCTCCGGTTTCTGCTGAGACGACTTGAAGACTTGCTCGTTTACACCCGTAGAGATATGCAACGCATCACTTTTCATTCCAATTAACAAATGAAGGCTTTCTGCAGCCAGGGCCATCTGTCTCCCAGTTGGTGGAGGCTTTGTGAGGCTCCATTCTGCACTACTGTTACGTAGGAGTGGTTTACCCACAACGTTATTGCTCTTTTTCTGTCTCACTAATACAAGAATTCCTACAACAGAAACTACAACACTAAACAGATAACACAAAGATAATTAAGTCACATCAGCCAGTTCAGCTATACACGGACACAGGAGTATCGAGAAGAAAAAAACTTAATAATAATTATGATCATATTTTAGTGAGAATGTAAGGATTAAGTTGACATGCTGCTAGTTGAACCTATAAATGAAAGTTTTGGGTCTCTCTTACCTCTTAGTAATTACTTTAAAAGTTGGAAACAAAAGTTAGATCATATAAAAGCCCAGCAGAAAATAATTGTATTAATACCTCAGTTAACAATTTCTGAATCCCTGGTTTCAACTCTTATTCAGAGTGGTTTAATGATCATTAAGTCATTTGTGATTCAATTTAGAAAGAAATGTTTGTTTGTCAGTCAGTACAGAGCGCTGCAGTCAGAGTACTTAAAAGGTCAAACCAACAGCCCCACATCACTCCTGTACTTAGATCCCTTCACTGACTCCCTGTTAAGAATCCAGTTTAAGATTCTCACTCTCACTTACAGATCCTTATACGGCCAGAATCCAGATTATCATGCTGAAATCATATGTCTCTATCTCTATCTATGTCTATCTATGTCTATCCATGTCTCTATCAGGCGACCATTGCCTGATAGAGACATAAGATAAACCCCCGGGTTCAGCTGGACAGAAACATTGATTACACTAGAATCAGCATCTACAGTTTAACTAAAATAACAAAACACAGGCTGTGCTTTGAGATCCATGGTGTGGTAAGCTTTATATTTGTATTTACTTAATTCCCCTCCTCCTCCTCCCTTAACCCAAACTTTGAGGCAAGGTACTCACAAAAGTAAAGTCAATGTCAAAACTGAAGACAGACGTTTTATTTAGCAAAGAGTACACTTTTCTGAACAGACAGGTAGCAAAGATAAATACTAAATTATCAGTTTTATTTTGTTCACAAGTCGCCACGATGCAAATAACTTGGATAATTGGATCTCTGAACAAAACTTAAAGTAAAGTAGGTGCTTGTTGCGGTTTGTTGGAGTTTTTCAGTGTTTCCAGCACGCTCTAACCATTTGTTTTAATCTAATCTGGATAACTAGATCACACCTTTAAGTATACTGAACAGTGATTTAACAGATTAGTATTTCTTAATGAGCGTAAAAAGAAAAAGTGTGAAATATTTCACTTATATAAGGCCTATCTTGTAACCAAAAGACATTTGTCAAACCAGCGAATCGAGCTCAGATATGTTCAAGGCTTTGTGCAGAGAGCGTCGAAGTTCCTGTAAGGAATTAGCAAAAGTGGGAATGTTGGAATCAGCAGTGAAAACGCTCCAGCTTCATTCTGCCACATGAAGTGTGACGCCAAACGCTCAGAACAGACAGAAACTATAAAACAAAGTGGACAGACTGCCGAGTCAGAAAAGTGAGCAACATGCCAGAGAAAGACAACGTGTGCAAAACCAGACAGGAGGAAAAGAAAACACATCACATGTAGCCTCATAAATATTATCGACAATTACAGAAAGACAGAGAAAAAATCTTCAAACTCAAACAGCTTCAGCATCAGAACAAAACTCTTAATATTTGTAATTCTTCTCCAGTGTTAAGGCACAGACTATTGCTTAGAAAATACAGGAATATAAATGTTCTTTGGTAGATGATACAAAAATGTACTGCAACGACACAAGAGATACAACAAACATTAAATATTAAAGGTGCTGATGCTTTAAATGCTAACAACAAACTGTAGCATCTTTCCAATCTTTCACACTTGAACTAGTAAGTTTGTGTATGATGGAAAAAAAAACACATCATGATTTCCTTTAAAAAAAATGAAATAAGTCCCACTCTTTTTCTTCTCAAATACACAGGACCAGCACCAACAATACTCAACGGCTCTTCTGAAATAATGCTTTCAAAGTGCAAAATCTAACCTTAAAGCCTCTTCTTAAACATCCGGTGGAAACCTTTGGTCACCAGCGATGTGTTTGGTTTTTCAGCTGAGAATACAAAATGTTTAAACTGTGGAGAAAACATGAAATGAAGTGATACAAAATGACCTTCAAGTAAATTAGATGATGAAACATGATGGTAGCTTGTTGACAACCTACTGTGCAGTGCTACAATGAATAGTTTGACATTATGGAAACAGGCTTATTTGCTTTCTTTGTGAAAAACAATGAGCTACTATCAGGAAATTGTTTGTTCGCCAAAAAAAACTAAAACCCAGAAACCCTGCTGACCAGCACTTCAAATGAATATCTTTAACATGTTACATCTGCTGTTTGAACTTTACAAAGAAACACATTTATGAAGGGACTTCTCTTAGCCTGGTGCGCCCACATCCTGGAGGTTTGGCAGGTTTATTGGCAATTTTTATGAATTAAAAGAAAATTTAAAAAATGCTACTTAGTGAATTTCAAAGTTGTAAGAAGGCAGATTTGGACAAAGCTAACTAGTCGATTCTTTTATCTTATCATTACGCATACTCAGTATATCATGCTCAACTTTATATTTAAAGCTCCAGTGAGGAACTTTTGGTTTGGGTTGAGTTTGGCGCCCCATGTGGACAAAGCTGTAAATCTTGTTGCTTTACTTATCTTGTCCTCTGCCTTTATAAATGTTAAAAACATAAAAATCTAATGTCGCTTTCTCTTCACAGTAAATCGTATCAGTCTGTGAATCTTTACAGTGAATAATGCACAGAAAAGCGGCTATATATTGTTTTTTTCTGACAGCTACCCCTTGGCAGCAGAGCTTTAAGGCATCAAAAATAACTTGAAAGAAATAATCAATACCTATGCTTATGGAATTATTTGTTATTGCAGGTAATATAAAGGTCTGTTTCAGTCTGTTTTATAGCCAGTGAAAAACTCCTCACCCGAGCTTTAAATGAGAAGCTAAATCCAGACAACAATCAGCTTGACTCAGTTTAAAGACTGTAGAAAGGAGAAAACAGTTAGCTAAGCTTCTTTAAAGGGAAAAACTGCCTAAATTACATTTTAAATCTTCTTTATCAAACCATACCAAACCTGATTTAAGAAATGAGGACTTTTTCAACACGTGGCTGGCTGCAGTGACCTCCGAGTGTTTCTGCAGGTTACCTTATCGATTGAAAGACAAGAAAACATCCTAATTAGCGAGCTTTAGAGGCGCAGGTAGGCAGTTTGAGGCCGAGATAGCTGCTATCAAGGCTAACAGGACAACAGTTAGCTTAAGTTAGCACACAGACTGCTAACAGGGAGAAACAGTTAGTCGAGCTACATTAAAGGAAACAACTGACCACCAGCACGTCTAAATCTCACTAATAAATATGTTATATGTTCATTTTTTTAAACTACAACTACTGGGCTCTTTCTAGGTTGGGAGTTAGATAAACAAAAAGCTTTAACATAAATGAACATCACATGGGTTGATAGTTGGATTTTGTGACCTCTGGATGGAACCAGGCTTCTATTGTTGTCTCATGTTTTCAGTCGTAATGTTAAGTATGCTCACTATTTCCTAGCTCTACCTCCATTTTATCAGACAGCTACATTTATCTCAACTCCTCATGTACGTAACTCTTTCTAAGCAAATAAGCATATTTACCGAAGTGCCAAACTCTTCTTTAAACATGAACTGTGAAACAGATCCAATCAAACACACACAATGTAACACACCTGCATGCACATATGCATTCAAACAGCATCATTTCTGGTAGAATTCTGCAGAATTCAAACTTAAATAAAAATGATTAGGTGAATCTTTGGAATGCATTATTGGAGTTTTCAGTGGAATGAACTGTGAGAGAAAAAAAACATCTATAAAACGAGCTTTCAGCTTTTTAAACTTTCTGGAAAAAAAAAAAAAAAAGGCTTGCACTGAAACGTGCACCAAGACAATGCCACTATATTCAGACTTATGTAAAGATAAAACTCTTTGAGAATCTGCACTGACACATGTTTCTATAAAACATACAAATCTTCCTCTCTGGGATAAGGACATTGATTTAAGGCCACAGTGGCATCTGATCCCAGTCAGAACTGAAAGAACAGAGTACCATTTTAGAGAGGAAACAAAAACTCCCAAATACCCAACAGTGGAATGTCTGACTCTGCTCCTCCTCCTCTTTAAAGAACTGAGATGCATCTTTGTGAAATATAAAAATCCGCAGAAGATAAAAGAACAGGAGATCCAGTTCTTCCACCTCCTAAATCTCAAACATATCTTTACCTCTACGCATCCAAAATATAAAGTACCTTTTTCTATATTTTATAAAAGAATCTCCTTGAAAAATACAATAAAATTAGATTGAAAAAAAACTATCGTGCAAATTGGAGTCTGAGTAAAAAATGCTTAAGACATCATGTCGTGACGTGCAGCGACTGCTCTGTGTCCTGCTCTGTCTTCTGTGCTTTTTGAATAATCTGCTCAGACTTGAGTTTTTCCTCCGAGTCCCGCGTGTATCTGACACACGGGGTGTCTCCGTCGGGGGGCAGGTTCAGGTGGATGCAGTCTGTTTGGCTGAGCAGAGGTGTGGAGGTGATCCAGCCGGACAGACTCAGATCTGACGCCTCTAAAGTTTTATCTAAGCGCTCTGAGTCTCTGGTGGAAGGAGGCTGCGGCTCCTCCGAGAGCTTTGGAGCATCTTTGGTGTAAGGAAGAGTGTCTATTTCCGATGGGACAAATGTGTAGAGGTCCCTCTCGCTGTCTGCAGGCCCCCGTCTCCTGGCCTGGTTGTCTGTTTGTAAAACGGGCCCCTGTGATGTGTTGGAGCCGGGGAAGCTCCTTTGGTCTTTTTTATTGCAGCCTGTAGAGGAGGGTGTGCTGAGGGACAGGAAGTGAGTCTTGGGGCTGAGCGCCGACCCCACCTCGACCCTGCTGAGGCTGAGGATGTTCCTGCGAGTTTCTGCGGGGAGTTTATCCAACTGTCTCCCGACTTGAATCGGGCTGGGAAACAGCGTTCCCTGACACGCCCTGTAGAAGTATCTGGAAAGTAAAACAAAGGCAGACGTCAGGACACTCTCGCTCTTCCAAAGCTGAACGCCGACTCTCGGGATAAACATTTAAACACATCTGGTACAGATAGAACACACGGCTCATAAAATATGAGAGGAACGGGCTTCAGTGTTTAATCAAAATGCTAGAAATACAGCGCAGGATACCTGGGCAGCAGTGCAGCTACTGGTGTGATGAGACAGAGCAGGTAGAAGAGGGGGTCCTGCAGCAGCCTCTGCATGGTCCAGTACGGGTTGGAGGGGGAGTAGCAGGTGGGACAGGAGGCGTTGTAACACAGAGCCACGGTGAAGAATAAAGAAATACTGAAGGAGATGGACAGCCAGTTCATCCAGGTCTGCAGAGAGGGAAGAACAAGGACACTTTGACTTATGTTTTACAAAAATGCAGAATGAAATTAAACTGAGGCTACAGCCTGAAAATCCACAGTTCATATCGACAGACTAGAGTCGACAGGCATCGTGTTAGTTAAATATTTACGCTTAGTATTTTTTTTTGCAGGGAAAAAAAAAAGCCGCTCTTCTTCTGCAGACACAGAACATCTCAGAGCCCAGCTTACATTTACACATTCGGGGATAGTGGAACCATCTGAAGTGAACTGGGTACAGGAGAAGGGAAGCACAGGTACGGCATGAAGGTCGCCCAAATTGCTTTGTGGAGATCAAAGCAAGAAGTGTTGTAGTTTGAAAGTTTGAATCATAACAGAAATACACAATCTGGTAAGCAACCGGCACAAACCAATGGTAATCTAACCACTGACTTTAGCCAGGTCATTCGGTCATGTTCTGATACACATACACACATACCCACCCGCCCTTTCCTGGCAATAGACCAGTAGTCCGGCCAAGAAACTTCTAGGAAATGTCTTTATATAGCACACATGTTTTAATTTCCCAGTGTGATGATTGCCCACAACAGGATGATTGGGATGCTATAAAAGAACTGCTCCAGGAGAAATAAACAGATCCTCAATTCACAAGCCATAGTCTCTGTCTGATTGTTCAAGAGCATTTACTCTTCTACATAATGCGCTGCGAGCACACTAGGAAGAGTGACCAGACACCTGCGGCATCCAGGGCTGGAGTGACACTGCACAGTGGCCACAACAAAAGGTAGGAGCTTTATCTTACCAACATGTATATGTGCAGTCTGATTCTATGCCTCAGATGACGTAATAGGTGTCTAAATATTCTCCAAAAAGAACCTACATATTATGGTAAAAATTTTAACAGAACAATTGGCTGTGAATCTGCGGTCCACTCACACACCGAATCTCTCTCCTCGCTGGGGCAGCTTGACCCGAGAGTCAGAAGGGAGGAGAGGACGCTGTGTGTTTCAGTAAATTAACATAGGAAAAAAAACGAATCAGAAATAAGCAAATTATAAGTGTAAACTTATGAAGAATTAGGCCTGAGTATGCAGAGAGTGGTGGAATGTCAAGGATGACAAACCTTTGAGTGTTTATGCCAAGAGGGAATGCTATTATGTGAAATGCCCAGTGTGGCATAGTAGAAATAGTTCTCTGACCCAGAGAAAAAGTTACGCTGAGAATAAAGCCAGACTGTAAGCTTCACACTCATAACTGAAACACAGAAAAAGACTAGTTCTTAATGTAAAGTATGAGTGTTGTAGTCTCTATGAAGATGGGTATTATTAACATATCTATTTATATCCAGTCGGTTTAAACTGGAGCTACGTTAAGTAGATGTGATGTGTAGTAAGGGAGTTAGAAGACAATAAACAGATTAACTCTGTTTCAGATTCATAAGGGTGAATAAGAAAACATTGTTTGTTGTTGTTATGTAAAGGCCAATGTCGTTGTGTGTACGTTTCTATATGTGTGAAAGAGAAAATGTGAATTTCTGGCCAGATGTGTGTAAAAGAAGAGTGAATTCTGTATGAAACGAGTATAAAGGAAAGAGTGACTGACTGTCCACATGGGAATAAGTGGCTGCGTAAATGTAAAAACAAAAGATATGTGCAGTCTTTTTATGATAGAAATGTCACATCTGAAGACTCATAAATTCATATGGGGGAAACCACAGAGGTCATCAAGCACTAAAGCTAAATCCCATGAGGGGATGATCAATTCAACCAAAAGCCTCAGCCAGCAAACTCCCTTTAAGAAACCCAGGGCAAGTGGGCGTGCGCCTGGCATCACTCCATCAAAGCCAACATGACAGGCAGATAAAACTGCCAAGAACAGACCTTTAACAAGCAACTCCTGAAGGAATGTCAAAACTTCCACAATTGAACTCTGCAATGGGAGTACATTTCGTTCCTGACATTCCTCGTTCCTCATTGCTCGAACGCCTGCCATTTATAGACAAATAGGCATCGTGTGGATAATGCCCTAGCAGAGAGAGTGAGAATTTGCGCACCCCTTAAAACAGGGGCGAACGGAAGACTTTGTTGCTTTAGCCTTGGGGCTCATCCCGAAACACAAAGCTTACAGGCTCAAAATTAGCACTCAACAGCAGCAGTTAACACCAACAAGGGCAGTTAGTCAAATTGAGTCAAATTGGCTGTGATGACGGCTGAATTCATATGAAGGCGGACCCTCACATACGTCATCACAGACCATCTGCCGCGTGATTAGAGGTACCTTCATTCAGTCCAAGCGGGAGTGTGATACTGTTTGTGTTGTACCGAGTGAATGGACTGAAAGGGAACGTCAGTGTTCATCATTAACAAAGTTTTAAATAGATTTTTTGTTTTTTCCAAAAGTACCCTCCTTTTCAAAAAGCCTTAGCTCACTTGGTGATGAAAATCCTCAAGACTTTTGACTTACAGAGCTAAAAAATGACTCACAGGTCTCAAAAACCTGACAGGTGTTTAACTGCCAGTGAGGAACTTTTAGTTTGTGTTGATTTTGGCGCCCCCTGCGGACAAACTGGCAAATTTTATCTTTTGCTGATCCTGTCTATTACATAGACAGGAGAGTGGTGTTTTTGAACAAAAAAATCTTAAACATTTCACTCACTATAATAATATTTGCTGTTGAAAATGAAAATGAAGTTTATATTTGCAGCTTGATGTTAATCCCTTTGACTCAAACCCCTCGCCTGAGGTTTCAGACATTAAAAATAACTAACTAAAGATAATTAGTCTCTTCGCCGTTGGTCTCATTTGCCTTTCTAGGTCATGAAGATGTATCAGTGTTAATCTCAGACTGTTTCATAATCAACTAGGAACTCCTCACAAGAGCTTTAGGGAAAATGATTATCCATGTACTTCCTACAGGTTATACATGAGTCTCAAGTAGGCTAGAGGAGTTTGGAGACTTAACAGAAAAATAGGGAAAGAGGTCATCAAAGCTTCATATTTAATAACCAGAATTAACATTATCAATGTGTCATTAGCTTTGTTATTAGGCTGTAAAGTTTCCTGACATCTCACAAGAACGTGTATAACCAACATCAATTCTGACAATCTCAGTACAAAGGGAGTTATTTATACAAAAACATATTTAGAACATTAATGCATTATTTTTGCTTAATGTCATGTATTTTGAATGCTCTTAGTAATGTTTGTTTTTCACTTTGAACCGCTCTATGTAAGAATGATGTTTAATAAATCAACCTGCCTTCCCTTTATGATCTGACTGTTGGCCGCTCTTTATGATGTGATTCTGAAAAATGTGTTTGACCACTGCTGGAATCTGAGGATGTGTAAAACTTGACCTGATACCATCCACCAGGGCAGAATAGAAACAGTTAATCACACAAAGTCTGAAGAAGTATTTTAAAAAAATACACTAACAACCTGAGTGCAGCCAAATGTCAGCATTTATCACTTATTGCTCAAATACAAATTACCGCCTTGTGGTTGTTGGACTCTGCCAGTCAGTCATGTTTCAGTTTAAATCCACCCCGCACTCCATGTTTCACTGTGAAAGTGTTGAACTGTGGCTGGGATGTGGTTCAGGGTTATATTTGTTAAATGGTTGTCACAATATGAGATTTGTAAACTTCTTTAATATTCTAGTAAAAATCAAAGGATATCACTAGCTCTTTTCAGACCAATCTTTTTTTGCAAAAGTGCAGAAACTACGCTCAGCTGTCATCACCATAAATGTAAATCCATATTGATTCCGCAACGGTGTAATACTGTTGTCCCAGTATGTGACTTCACATTGTGTTTCAGGTGAGGTCCACATGAACCCACAGTCAGACATGCACGCACACACACAGCGCTGCGCTCCCATCCCGGCTCAGCTGACCTGAGGTCTCGCCTCCGACGCCTCCGTTACTACCTCCAAAGACGGGAACAGCAGGGGTCACTTCTGCATTTAGATTGAAGGTGAAACATCACAGGGGGGGTATATATCACAGCTTGGAACGGCATTCTGCTGAACACAGCTAAAACCTGTTTTTCAATACCATGGCAACACAAATAGAAGTCCTGGGCACCACATATTAGGACATTTCTTTTTTTTTTAAATTAACAAAAAATTCAGGAAAAAAAAAATATTTTTTGACACTACATTTTCTAAATTAATTGCAGTGCAGATATAAATATATTTGACACACATTTTTTTTCTTAAGTTTCTGAAATACATATCCTACCATATCTGTTTAATGAGAAGTCAGCACTGAAATATATTTTGTTTTTAGATAAATCATCATGTGCTTTTTAACAAGCTGAGGCAGTTAGACTAAAAACATGAGCCACAGATAGGCTTTTGTGGAGCTGACAGGCTGATGATACACATCTGACAAATGGAATTACACACAATTGTTCAAGAAGGTATTGCCTCCCCTGACACACACAAATCCATACAAGAACACACACACAGGAGCAGATAATTAATTACAGCCTCACAGCTACTGTAAGGGGAGGGAGGGGGAGAGAAAGACCGTTACCTGGTGTCACCTCCTACACCTTTAATTGACTTTCACAGCCGTTTCCCTGTGATGCATGGATTCTTTTCAAGAGAAGGCAGAAAACAAAGCATTTTGAAATGTTTACAATTCAGTCGAGCCTTCTAACACTCGGAATCCTTCTCTGAAACAAGAGGCCATCATGTCCAGGAAGGTATTTGGTGAAAAGGACATTTTGTCAGACTGAATTTACAGCCTTGGCATAATGGAAAAGACTCTCATTCAGTGCAGGGTCATAAATATAAAATGGCTCATGACCAAGACTGCAGCGCAGTTTACGAGAAGCACACGTGGATACCTGAGAATAAAACCAAGGCGGGAGGTGTGTGTGTGCATAAGGGAGGAACATGAGCAAGTATTTTGGAGCTGTGTATCAGTGTGAGGTGATGGTGTGCTGAGATGTGGAGGAGATAGTTTGGAGAGGAGGTTGGCGGAGGCAGAGACGCTGTCAGGCTGATATATTGTCTCTGGAGCTGCAAAGCTTTCTCGTTCAATCTAATCAGCTTGAGTTAAACATCCATGTGCCTGTCAGCCTTCACACAAAGACAAGCCGGTCTCAGAGAGAAAAAGCAGCACTTGAGGGCATTTCAAAGCCAGCATTGAGTCATCAGTTGAGTCTAAAATGAGGCGTCTTACCCAGGTTTTGGTCTCGATGCCTAAATGCACCAGGATGGTGAATAAAGCGAGGGTGGTGATGGGAGTTCCCCATGTAAACAAATCTACGTCAGAGTCAGCGTAGGCCTGAAGAGAAGAAGAAGACAACAGGGTGGAGACAGTCAGAGTGGAAATGATGAGTAAGTCAAAAAGCAACATGGAAAAACTGAGTGAAGAGGGAAGTAAAAAAAGAGACTCACAAAGTACGGGATGAAGAAGCAGATCAGACTTTGGTAGAAGGCATCAATCATGTTCATCCAGAACATGTATGGCTTATATTCCTGCAGGAGAAAAACAAAGACATACAGCCATGAGCCTCATCGATGTGACGGAGCAGAGGTGGAGTTCATACCATTATTAATTAATAACATATCATTTTAGGGACTGTGCAAATCATCCCAGTGTCAACATCATCGTGATAAACACATTAGCAACAGTCTTCATTTATTGAAATAATAAGAAAAAAAAACGTTCTCACTCAGCATGTTTACATTTGACCTGGATGAGTACAGAGTAGAACGTCTGTGCACAAACATTTTAATGCAGTCAGATGAAGCTTAAGCTAACTATTAGCTAGCCTCAGGTTCATTAGTGCCAATTTGGATGTCTTTTGGATTTCATTCAGGAGAACATGTTGCAAACACAGACATTGTGTAGAACATGACAAACGGCAGAAAGACGTCAGTTATAATGTACCTCAGATGGACTCTTTCATTATTTGTTTATTTACCGTCATCACCATGTTGTCTTTTCTTCCTACTGATATTGTCATCGTCGTCAGATACTGTCATCGAACTGTCATGTTGAACAATGTTATCGCACATCTTTTTTTTTCTCATATCCTGAAGGCCCAATGTAAAGAACAATGGGAGTCTGCTGAGTTAGAGGCTCTCTTTACTAGAAAAGCAATAAAACAAAACTAAAAAAACAGTGGGTCTTGGGCGCAGATAGCCCGACAGTTAGGTCGCGCCCCGTGTGCGGAGGCTTTAGTTCTCCAACCGGGTGGCCCGGGTTAAAATCTGACCTGTGGCTCCTTTCCCGCATGTCATTCCCCTCTCTCCCTCTACTAGTTTCAAACTGTTTCGTAGACTCTGCCCTCACATGACAAAAAAATACCTGCACAACTTGATGAAAACTCATCCAACAGATGATGAGACAGACAGACACAGAGAGTCAGGGACACACAAATTCAGTTATCCTAATTCTCTGAGACCGTCCAATAGTTGAAGAGATAAATTAGTCCAAAGCCGACTTGTTGACTGAATCCAAACAGGATTTGGGGTGCTGTTGATTCAACACTTATTTCTAAACATACAAACTCTCCACAAATGTTAATGTGTTTAGAATATGGCGTCTATAACTAACACACTAGCGGCCATTTCTAACGTCCTTTAAAAGAGCAGAGATGTGTTCAAAGGTGATGACAACTCAACCAACTAAAAAAACATCCCAAGCTAAATCTAAATCTATGGAAAGATAAAAAAAAAACTATGAGATGACTGAGAGCTCTGAAGGAAGTCAAATCAGCCTTTTGTTTCAGCAGATGGAAATAAAACACTCCACACAAAAACATCTCTAAATCTGAGATAAAAAGAGGCAACTTAGAATATCCTTGCGGGGCTAGATTTATATTTGTGTGTAAAATACTGTTCATTTGTTTATGGATAGTCAGGGTTTCTTAGCATCTTTGTTGTCCTGTAGTCTTTAAAAATGTTGACACTTTAGAATATGTATAAACACAAGTAATCCTAAAACAGATGAATCCACACATAACGTTTTCTGTGATATGATGCCAAGTTATTAGGTGAACAACTTGGATGTGAGTATTACGTTTCCAAAGTAGAAATGATGCTAGATTAATTGTGTTAGATTCTCCTTTTCTTTCTGAAGCACAGATCTTTTACACGTAAAATAAAAAGGGAAACAGAGATAAAAACGGGAGCTGAGCGGACCTCTGAGTTCTGTCCGTTCACGTAGAGCTGAGGTAGTTGTTGCAGAGTCTCTGCTGACACGTCTTTGTCCAGCGTGCCGGTGATGAGTTGTGGAAAGGCGGAGAACATCAGGTTGAAGAAGATAAGATACCACTGGTCAATCATGGCTGAACCTGAGAATCCACAGTAGAACTGATACCAGAAGATGAGCGCCACAAACATCTGTGGGAACAAGAGATCAGGTGGTGGATTCACACGAGGAGACGGGACAGAAAAAAAACAAGGAAATACACCGCCGGAGAGCGTTATGGAGGACATTTGTGTCTGCACAGATAAACAGAAACAGAGGTGAAGCATCTTACAGCGTTCTTGTAGAAGAAATAGAGGATCATGTTAGCCAGTCGAGAGTAGCACCAGTGTCCATGGACCAGCAGGAGCTTCTGGAGATACCGGAAACGCGGGAGAGCAAAGTCGCTTGCCATCACCGCCTGCAAAACATACACAAAGAGAGGACATTCTTCTTTCTGTACTCTCTCTCCCCCTCCTGCCCACGTGCGTTTTGCAGCTATGAGGAAATATCTGCAGGAAGTAGCTGCACTCGCCGGCCTCATTTTAATGAATCTTTAGTGGGTATAATCTTTCCAAAGCAATAACCCTTAAACAAGTTTGTGCACCTTTAGGGATTGATTGTTACAGCAGCAGGACGCTGTCAGTCCCATCCATCAACATCCAACAACAAAACCCTCCCTGGAGTCACACCGGGTTTATAACTTACACTTTAAACTGCGCTGTTTCACCCTTTATGACACCCCTCAAGTGTCAACATTATTCGACAAGAAGAAGAAGAACAGCAGACGCCTCGTTTTGCGCAATTTAGTTTCTGCCGCGCTCTAATAACGGGCCCCGCTAACGACTACACGGGGGGGAGAGCGCTCTGATAAGAGAAAGGTGTGTTAATCATAACGAGGTGTGTGTGTGTGTGTGTGTGTGTGCTGAAATGTGAGTCTCGGTGCAGAGCGGAGTCCTGAGGAGTGACCGCTGTCTCATTAGGAGGGGATTTGATTAACAGTGATTAATGTAGCAGCCCCCGTTAAGGACAGGATACTGAGACTTTAACAGATGTGCTACACAGCAGTGCGCCTCCAAAGCCTCTCCTGGAAGTTAATTGGGAATCTCCATCATCGCTTTGCAAGATCACCTTTCTGGAACAGGGGGCTTAAGTGAAATTAGAGGGGGGAGGGTCAACAGAGCGGATTTATTTCATTCTTTATGCAAAGCTGACAGCGTCTACTTTGGCCTTGGTTTTGACCTTAAAGGGTGGAGAGAAGCCGGGGTGAAAGGAGTTGAGACTAAAGAGAACCATCAAATGATCTGCTTCGCTGCAGGACGCAGGACAAGCTACCTGACTCAGCATCACACAGGCAATACAATTTAAAGGATGTGTATGCATGGGGGTTACAACATACACTTAAGAGTAATGAAACCCATCAACTATGTTAAAGAAGTTAATCCCTTTACTTCTATCTCCTGGACTTTTCTCGACCCCCCAGGAACTCTAACAGGATGGTCGTGACACCAGAATTTCAAACATTATCGATGCCTGTTTCCTTACCATGGCAACAAAAATACAAGTCCTTGACACCCAATGTTGGGTAATGTCTTTTTTCTAATTACCAAACAATTGCAGGAAAACTCCAACACACTGTTTTAATTGCATTTTTTTTTAAACAAAAACATCCCAAACTTATAAAATAAAAATAATCCTGAACTGAAGAGGATTCAAAACTTTCGATTGAGACACATTAGGAAAATGATTTAATCACAGAAGAATTCTAATGTGAAGTAAGCTCTAACTGTTTTCTATACCACTGGACTCCTTTCAACCCCTGAGTCCCCTAGGGCTGTGCTCCAAAACATCTACATGGCAATGTATCGTCATGTGCTCCTTGCAAATACATCTATTTATGCAGATGTTACAGAATGGATATGGCTGCAGAGCTGTGAAGACAGTTATGAAAGACAATTGACCTATTGTGCAGTTCACTATAACACATTAGTCATAGCTCTGGGATTTAAATATTTGAATGTATTTCTAGGATCTCCGAGGACCTGAATTGAAGTCAGGGGTGCAAACTCATCAGGGATGAAAAAGGTGACATGGATCCAAACTCCCTAGGGGGGTCCGGGGGCATGTGCCCCCCCCCCCCAGGAAGATTAAAAAAAATATATATCAGCTTTAAATTGTGAATTTACAGATGATTTTAGCATTCAGACCTTCTAAAGAAGCAGTGCAAACAATAAGAAAAAAACAATTGCTTGTTGATATCTATGTTCTGTTTTAACTTTTTGATAAAGCTTCAGTGAAACATGAAAAACCTGTGCTCCCAACCTTGAGTCCCTTTTTTATAAATGGGATGAATTTGCAGAACAGGGCTTACCATGTTCCACTAAGGGGTGATGTGAAGGGCAGTCACTATGGAAGTAGCTCTCAGAGCAGAGTCTGAGAGAGCATCATAATACAATCATCAAGTATGGCAATATTTTCAAATATCTTCTATCATAAAATATGTAACATTATCAATATATGAACCTGATGTTTTGCTCCTCCTGATTCTCATTAAGTTTGTATTCCCTCTCTTATTACATGTGTTGACACTGAGATAATAATGAACCAGAAAGCTGTATGAAGTTACCTTCAAGCTAGCACACATTCCTCTCATCATCTTTACCTCTGTCTACCAAACGGTAAATATGATCAGACAGTATGTTTAATGAAAGGCTGGCTTGCTAACCAGACTTCGAATCTTTCCACAGTGTTATCATGGAAAAATAACGTCATGTAAATTAGCCATGTGCTGCACATTGAGACTCATTGAATCAGGTTTCATGCTTCTTGCGGTCGGCGTGAAGATATTGCGCAATCGCGGTTGGCGCTAGAATGGTCCGCGGAGGATCTGAACGCCCAGCTGTGCACCCCCGAGATTTTCGGAATGCGGACGGGTTCGTGCCGAGATTGGCTGCAGGGTCCGGTAGTACTTCCGGCCGTGTTGAGCAATTAGACCGCTCTGACCGCAATCGGAAACGACTTAACGTTCACGGGACCGTGCTCGCCGGCCGCAAGAAGCATGACAGCTCGCGTCGCAGATTTACCTCCAAATATTTTTATTGCAGATCTAAATGAATCACACAAATGACCAAATTGGGATCCAAAACGGCAAATTTCGCCGAAAGGTGACAAGTTTGCACCCCTGTGAAGTGTTTTAAGGTGCATGATCCTTAATATGCCTCTGCTGTTATTCTCAACAATAAAATACAGCTGTTGTAGTGAATTCTGTGAAGGACATGGTCATTATCCAAAAACAATGTTTATCACGATATGTATCGTATTGTGGCCTCTGTGACACGTATCGTATTGTGGGGTTGTGGGAATACCCAGCCCTAGTGTCCCCTCATGATGGAAGTAAAAGAGAACGCAGCTTTGAGGCATTTTTATGTTGGTTTCACTTTTCAAATCCAGAGGCTGCGTCTTCTTCTATAACGTATTTACCTCTAAACAGCCCACAACGTAATCATTCCTCTTCTTTTTTTAAATCATATTTTTATCTATTATTCCCTTTACTGTTGGGTATGGCCTGGTTTTCTCCTTACCTGCATGCCCTCCTGTCCTGAAATGCCCACACCCACATCGGCCACCTGGATCATGCTGACGTCATTGGCCCCGTCACCTGAGATTAATGTTGTAAGAGAGAAAAAAAAGTCCTCTTAGAATGAGAAACTAAGCACATATTCTTAAGGTTTATGAAAATACATTGTTAGCAGCAGATCAGCAAGAAGTTTGGAAACAGAGAGCTCTGTACTAACACTTCTACTATTATACGAGTTGAAGTTTTTGTTTATTTTCAACTTTAACCAGGCTGTCCCTTTGATAAGGCAGGGTTAATCCTGCTGCAGAGGTGAAGGAGGACTGATTTTGGTCTTTGCTCCGAAGAGCTCAGGGAGAGACCTTTATCTGCTTTGAGGTTTTCAAAATAAGATTAGCATTGATTAACTACAATCATCTAAGGAAAAAAGGTTGTGAACCTCTGTATTAAGTGACAATAATGACAAATGAGTATTTAAAGTCCTTTGATACTTGGGTGCAGATTTTTTCTCATGCAAAGGAAATAAATTCAAGCTCTGAGGGGCATAGTGTGCCTTTCTTAAAATGAAGATCATAATTATCATTATTTAGTAGACAACAGACAACAAAAGGTGTATGCTCTTTCTTAAAATGCTAAGATAAGAGAGACGATAGATTTTAGAGCTTCACTAGAGCTGCAGTGTTTCTCCCACTTTACTGCAAACATCCCAATGACAGGAAAGTGCTCGGTTTGCAAAACAGGATCCTCCTGAGAGCAGCAGGAACAAATAAATGAAAAACAGGGAAAAGACGTTCATAAGTCACTCTGACATCCTCATGTCACCTCTGTTCTACCACAGCGTAATTAATGCAGAGTTTATAATTACCAAAGGAAGCTCAAAATAACTTTGTTTTGACTGAGCGGTCACAGCGAGGGTGCAGAAAGTGTGTGTGATGAGTTAGTCTTACTATATTGACATAAATGAAGAGGAACAAACAGGAGATTCACTGTATCTGGGTCATACAATTTGTTTTTGTTTACTTTTTTTTGTTTAAAAAGTGTGAAAGTCTTCTGGCAGCAGAGCGGCAGATGTTACAATCGAAGAACAAACAAGACTATCAGCTAAATAGGAAGAAGTTAAATACACATAATTCAAGCTAAGAATACCACAGCTGCAGGTTGAACATAGTCACAAGCTGTATGATTATGTACGTTAAGGCTTATTAAATCACTGCCCATTGATTTATGCACAAATAACTGATTACAATGACTTTCATTTTTTAAATTCTATGTTTTCTTATGATATGTTTGACAGTTTCAGGATTATTGTTTAGGTTATAAATAAATAATAGGTAAATTGTACTTTATTCTCTAATTTATTATGATTTGTATAATATACGACTTCAATCTGCTCATCTTACTTCCCTTCTATTCTCTATCAACAATAATTTATGCGCATGCACGCACACTCTTGCACCTTTCCTCTCACAGTGAATGTGTTTGACTGGGTGAATGTGACATGTAGAGTTAAAGCACTTTGAGTAATCAGAAGACGAGAAAAAGTGAGTTATGTAAGAGTCCATTTATCATTTAAATGAATCTAGGTGTTGTCCACTTACTTACCTATTGCTAATGTCATGACCTTCAGCTTGTTCCGCACCAGTTTGACCACCATGCTCTTCTGCAGCGGTGTGGAGCGACAGCACAGCACTGAACGACAGCTCTGCGCGATCGCCAGAAACTTATCCTCCAAACTTTTATCTAGAGCGTAGGCCAAAGTCCGCCCATCGATCACCAGGCCCAGCCTGTGCACCATGACAGGAGCAGTGTTGGAGGATGAGGAGGAGGACGGAGATGAAGAGGGATAGATATCAAAGGGTGCAAAGTTGTTTTGGAAGTTTTTGGCTGCTTGGTCTGTAGAGCTGCAGAGGAATTTGGCCTGGATGTAGTGTAAACTCTCCTCCAGCAGCAAAGCACACGCCTCCTGGTTCAAAGACAGGCAAAGAGTGGGTTTCAATTCACGCTCAGGTCAATAAGTCAAGTTTCATATCCAACTCAGACAACCTGCAGCACATCTGGCAAACAGATGCTTCAACAGCACATATTTCAATATTGTTAGTCTTTAAATCTTTCCCAACCGTTTTAATAACAGGTGGTGTTTCCAATAAAAGCACAGTGTTATTTAAAATGCTTTTTTCAACAACTTGAGAAATGCACATATTTCTAGGAATACAATAAAAAGTTAAATAATATTCTCAGCATTTTTTAAACATTACAATAAAACTTTGGGATAAATTGTGTTTTAGAGCAGGTCGTAATACAGAGAAAGCCCTTACTGTTTTTTTAATCGTATACTTATGGCTGCAGACAGAGGCGACTGTGAGATATTTGTATTTCAATTTACATGCAGTCTTCGACACATTTGATTAAACTATCCTATTTATAAAGGAGACTTCGTTAGGCTGTAAAGGCTTTGCTCTGATCTTATTACACTGGTGCCTCTCTGACAGAACGTTTTTCTGTTTGTCTGGTTAACACTTCCTGTTTTTTTTTTGGCTAATTTGAGTTGTGGTGTTCCTCAAGGCTCCATTCTTGGCCCCATTTTGTTTTTGAAACACATTCAGTTTTTTGGCCATGTTATTCAAAACCATGGATTTGTTTTTCACTATGAAAAAGCCCATCAGTTGCTCACCTGAGAATCAGCATTCAGTGTCAGGATCTCTTCCTCCGGGTCCAGCAGCTTGCAGGCGTACGCAATATTAACAGCTGTTTCCTGTTTGTCCCCCGTCAGCACCCATATCTGCAGGCCAGCCTGACGCAGAGATGCTATGGTCTCAGGTACACCGTCCTGCAGTCGGTCCTCAATACCTGTCGCTCCTATGAAAAAAAGTAAACCAAAAGAAATAAGACATCCATATTATTATGAACATTTCCATCAGCTTTACTCGTTTTCTGGATGAGGCTGGTGCTTGGGGATATGTCAAGGGTAGGGCTGGGCAACGATTAAGGTTTTAATCGCGTTAATCGCATGAGCTCCTGTGATTAATCACGATTAATTGCATTGTTATACGCAAAATCCAATAATGAATTAAAAAGCAGTGTATTGCGCACTTTTATTGTAAATGTACTTCTCAACTTAAACAACGTAATCAAAGCAAATAAATACAAAACTAAAGCTTATTGCATTCGTTGCAGTCTGGACGCAGAGTGGTGTGGGTCTCCTCTCTGCTCTCTGACTGCAGCTGGGTCTGCTGTGCGAGGCTAGACTGACAGCCTGAGTGCTTTTGGGAGGGGCTTATGGTAGCACCCGCTGCTCGTTGAGGACAGTAACTGCAGAGCAATATGTGCTTTCACGTCAGTTTCTTACACCAAAAAAGTCTCCAATAACACCAGAAAAAGTCGCTAGATTTGTCGCTAGTTCTGTTGACAAAAAAATTCGCCAAGGGGGTTTGGAAAGTCGCCAGATTTAGCGAGAAAGTCGCCAAGTTGGCAACACTGTTTCCTCTTTCCTGTGAGCGCCGCAGCAGACATGCGCAGCAGTAAGCAACATACTAGGCTCGCTCACGATGGAATTTTATAAAATAAAAGCCAGTGAGCAACAGACTTTTAGCAAGATAAATAATAAAAACTGCGTTAATGCGAGATAAAATAATTGTCTGCGATAATTAATCAATGAGTTAACGCGAAAATAACACGTTAACGTGCTCAGCCCTAGTCAAGGGACAACCTTTTTTTCTTTATTGATCAAAACTTTTATTGCAATATATAGCTCCATAATGCTAGTTTGAAGTGTTAACAAAGAAATGAAAGGACCCACAAGAAACTAAACAAACATTAACTCTTTAGAATAAAGTTTAACATGTGCTTAAGTAGTAGTTGATCACACATTTATAGGCCGTGTTCTTTCTTTTAAAGTCAAGATAATCAAAATGTTTAACAAACACAAAATAAAGGAGTTTTAATTCTGTCTAAAATGCTCTTCAACAGACACTAGTTCTTAGGAAGGGCTGCTTGCTTAGCTTCTGCTATCATTAGCTTAGCTTGTTTCTGGGAGTTTAGTTTCAGGTTTGGATTCCTTCTGTTTTGCTTGTTTACAAAGTTTTTATCAGGAGTCAAAATATCTACAGAGGACGACTCCTCATTAAAACATGTTAACTAATTAAATCCAGTGAAAACACTGATAAAAACTTTTCTGGTTATAAACCAGTGTCTCTCCATTGCCTTTTTGGGGAAACAAGATGAGCGTCAACTTCTGTCCAAATAACTGACATCCTTCAAAACGATTTATGTTCATAATTTCATTTTCTTTGTAGAATGACTGGAGTCCCCATTTACTGTTGTTTCTTGCCCCCAGTTCCCCTTTTTTCTCTGTCAGACATCATCTACCTTCTAAAAGACTAAATGATGTGGTTGCCATCTCTGCTGTGTGAAAGGCTATTTGATGAATGCATATCAAATAAAAACGTCCAAAGTTAATCAGTTATCACTATGTTTTTAGTATGATCACCATTCGTTTGATTCTCAAAATTAGGCTGGTTTTTTGGATGCTTTAACAAAAAATAAATCCAACAGTTACCCAGAAGCTGGAGGTTCGTCTCCAGTCGCAGAGCTGACTGAAACAGAAGCTCCTCTCTCCCCTGAATGGCCGTCTCTGCCTCCAGGTGGCGCTGCAGCCAGCATGCGTACTGTTCCTTGCTCATAATCTGACACACAAACACAGATACACACCATCATCTGTTGAGTAAAGGGGGGAATGTAACAGTGAGGCAGCCTCTCCTCTTTGCCTGCATGCCAGAGGAGGACCCACAGGAGAATGTGAGACCTTGAGGAGGTGTTTTATCACAGTGCTTTGGTGACAGGTTCTGCACTAGCAGGGATATAATGAGCCCCGGCTTGTGTGGGCATAAATTAACAGCCTGGGAAAATGGCACAGATTGCAACTGAGTCACGGAGAATGGCACTTTAGAAGGGCCGGTCCATGTGATCATCTGCAAACACAACCAGCCGAAAAGCCACTGAGACACACACACACACACACACACACGTCTGACTTCGAAATGAGAGAAAGAACATTTGATCGACACTTCTGAGAAGCTTTATGGATTCCTGTTACCTTTTTAGCAATGCACAGTGTGCGAAGGCCATCTGCAGCGTACAGGTTCAGGTAGTTCTGGGTCCGGCTGACAATCTTTTTCTGGCGTTTCCCTTTGGAGCTTCCTGAAAAAAAAAGGGGAAGTGTAAAGTTAAAAAAGAAAGAACATAAAATGAACTTTTTTCGGAGGGAATTTGCAAAATGGTTCAGCATGATAATGATCGAACCCAGAGAGAGAGAGAGAGAGAGAACTGTCAAATTGCATAAATTTGTTTGAAACATCAGTTTTAGTATTAGTACCAGATGTTGCCAACAAATTTGTACAGTTTGCAGGAGTTCGCCTGCAGCTTTTGGTAGTAAAAAAAGTATTTGCCCAGTATTTGTTGCCAATGACATATTTGTGTTGCCTTGGTATGTGAACAAGTTTTGTTTGATTTTTACGTTTTTTTTCCTATCAAAAGTTTAAAATTTTGGTATCCTTTATATGCATTTATATCACCAAATCTTATTTTACTTATCAAGCTGCATTTGTAAAATATGCAGCTAAATGTATGAGTACAGATCATCTATCTATTTCAATGTACTGCTTAAATTCTTTTAATATGACTATGTTTATTTTGAGTGTGTCTTGGACATCTTCCTGGCAGGAGGAGAGATCACAGACAGACCGGCTTCATCGTCTCCTGGCACAGACACAGCAGCCAACACTCTGATCAGCAGCCCTGTAATCTCTCTAATAACACAACAGCTTGGCACATATAGTGCTACACATATAGCACCATGCAAAAATTAGGTTTACCTGAGAGGACACATTCACACAAGAAACTGCCAATGAAATCAGAGGGATTAAAACACAAAAATAACCGTAACAAAGATAAATCCAAAGTGTGTCTCTATTTGAAATGAAGTTAAATTTACAGGACAAACAGGGACCAATCTTTGACATCAAATGCTTAAACCCTGTTTTCACACATACACACTCATACACTACAATTGTTCATATATGTCCGTCATAGTATTCCCTGTTGGAAAGGAGGTAGGGGGAAGGATCTCCTGAGTTAAGACTGGAAAAATTAAATCAAAAATACAGACTACAGAAATACAAGATGGCGAATGCAACGAACAAACGAACAAAAACTATTTTCCTTTTGGTAAAGAAACAAACAGTGTTTCCATGAACAGCAGGTTTCCTGGTAACAAAAAGCTGCTGAAACAGAGACACACAGGTGGAACTTTACACAATGTTGATTTTTCCTACCACTGATAATTGGAAAATCCACCTAACATATAAACGAGGGCTGTGTGTTAACTGTTCCCTGAGGAGTTCTTCCCCATCAGCACAAAAGCTAAACAAGGGGGCGCTTCCAACCTGAAGTCACTGGTTTTAAGAAGCTACTTCAGGGTGTAGACGACAAACAGACACCGATGAAGACTGATCACATGTGAAAATCACATTTTAAGTTGATCTGGCTGTCTTTTTAGAATAAAGCTGCTTACTAACATCTCCAGCAAACATGGATTCAGCATGCAATAATAAGCTTTAAACAGTTTGTAGAGCACTTTTCAAAATCATACAAAGATGCTTTACAATGACAGCAAGAATAAAACAATAAACAGGCAGGTCATAACGTCATGACGTCAAATAAATTAAGAAATAACCAACAGTTAATGTCTCACTGTGACTGTCTGCCATTTGGATCTGGACAGAAGCTGAGCTTTAAAAGCATCTTTACGTGTTCTCTTAAACATAACCGGTCTGCTGAAAACTGAAGTAAAACAGATCCATTTTTTTATTTATTTTAATTTAAATTATAATTAAATTGTTACATATTTCAATAATCCCTGAGGGAAATTCTAGTTTTACACATATTATTGGGAGACATGCTTCTCACACACATAGGTTCATAAAACACACACATGCACAAACAGGACCTGTGGACATGCATTAATACATCACATCAGAGTGAGGCTGCTACACAGGGAGCACACCCGAGCTGCTGGGGGTCAGCAGCGCTCGGAAAGTGACCTGGCACCTCTCCAGCAACCAGTCCAACTTTTTATGGTCCGGGACTTGAGCCAGCGACCCTCTGGTTCCCACCCAAGTAACTGAGCTACTGCAAGTATTCATATCCGCCACATAAGACACCATAACACCCAACGCCAATATCGACACATTTATGATTGATAAATGGGACAGATTACATTTTTGTGAATATTTACCGGTCAGACTCCTCACATTAAGCAGCCATTTCATCTAATGTTAAAATGAATTTAAAAAACTATAGAAGATGATCGGAAGGTAACGATTTTGCAAAAACATCTGCAGCCTCGCCATACATTTTTTTGATCAGTTAAAGCAGTTTGATTGATACAAATCTACTTACATTTCTAATTTAAGCTGGAACTTGGCTTTGAACAGGAACCTGCAGCAGTAGGAAAACTAGTTATGTCATCACACTAAAACTTTGAGTCCCGAGGGTCTGCAGTCACCTCCAGCCCTCCATGAGCTCTGTTATTAGAGAAACACTCAACAACTCCCCAGTCGCCTGAATGGAGCCATTATGGAGGTCTGTGCTGTGAGGGGGCCCGTACAGAGAAACACTCTGACTGGCTGGTTTTATCCAATGGTAAAACAAAGCTGTGTGTGTGTGTGTGTGTATGTGTGTGTGTGTATAGACACACCCTGTTGACTATAAAAGTTACAGAACAGAGACGCATGAGGCCATTCTCAAAGTGGACCCTCCCCACTAACACTCTAAACTCTGAAGTCTCAGCTTCATTAAGGTGTAAAGAACAGATAAAGAGGCGAGCTTTAAGACGAACTTTCCTCGCCACTGAGCTTACATGAACGTTGTGTAACCATGGTTCAGAATCAAATAAATAAAAAGCTTCATCCGTCACTGTCATCTTCCTCTTAGCCTCAGCTATTGTATCAAACAGTGTCGAGACGGGCTAACTGGCTAACTGGCAAGTGCCATGAAGCCCGCTGCCAAACTTACATCATGCTGTAAACAGATGACGAGGCGATCTGTGGACATGGGAGAGACGCGATTCTTCTTGTTGAAGGTTGTTGAACTATCAGATTGACTCTGAAACGACTTTATTAAAGTGGAGAAGTTACAAATTGTTGCGTTAACAACCAACACACACTCTGAGGTTTTGGATGCCACTCAATTTAGCGGACCCTCCACTTGAGCCCACCATGATGTACGAAGTGGTCCATGGTGTTTGTGACAACAGTCTGAGTTGAATCTCTCCTCTCTAAAACAGAGGCCATTTAAAGTGATATACAATCATCACACCCCCCAAAACTAAATGCTATGACACCGCTGTGGTCTTCATCTTAAAAATCAATCCATAAATCACATTGCAATTCAGAAGTTCTCAAAATCAATCAACCTTTTATTTGTGTAGCACCAATTCATAACACATGACATCTCAAGACACTTTACAAAAGAGCAGGTGAAAGACCGTACTCTTTGTTCTATTATGTTACAAAAGAGCAGAAGACACACCAAACGAGAGGAGAGCTTTTCTCTGCTGAGGTGTTGCTCTTAACACATCTCAGTTCAGCGTAGGAGGATCATTTAGCATGAAAAGAGTTTTTCCCGTGGAGCCGAGCTGCTTTTTTGAGATGAACTATCCGCCTCTAATGAACAGCAGGGAGTCACTTAACAGCATGTGACATAAATAACTCACAGACACACAACCAGGCAGCATGCTTCTCCTGGGAGGAAGTCCAGAGGAGATGCTTAACATGTAGATTTACGGGGCGCACTGGTGTTGCAATGGTTAGGGCGCGCGCCCCATGTATTGAGGCTGTTGTCTCAAGCGGGCGCCCCGGGTTCACATCCCGCCTGTGGCCTCCTTTCCGCATGTCGTTCCCCACTCTCTCTCCCTGGTTTCCGACTCTATCCACTGTCCTATCTCTCCATTAAAGGCACAAAAGCAGATTTACCATGTCAAAACATAAACATGTGGAATATACAGGATTAACAAATGAACTTGTAAACCCAATGATGCACACTGACTCAAATAAAATCATGCTTATAGTGTGAGGAAAAACAAATTCAAAATTCTTAACAAGAACAAAAGAGAATTATTTTAGCACAAACGTGAAAATTTATGCAGATACGAGCCTTTAATCCTCCGTATGGGACTAACTCTAAAAAAACAAAACGCCTCATTTTAAAGGGATAAAACACATTTGTTGCCGCTGTTGAAGCTTTCAGATCTATTTCATGTAACCTAACAAAATCTCATCTCATCAAGTCAGATTTGGTTGTAAATGTAAAGCTTCTACTATTAAATGATTTCTGTAGTTCAGTGCCACACTAATACAGAGTTAATGTAAACCAAACAAACCAGATGAGGTGTGAACGCACTCTTTAAGACAAAGTGCTCCGTTCATAAGTCCGGCTCACGCTCAAAGCTTCCTCACAGCGGCCACACACAGGAGCTGCTTTTACAGGCTGAGTGTTTTCCCCAATTGACAATGCAGATTGGATTTTAAAGCCGTGCTGAAAATAAGAGTGGATTGGCAGAAAATGCATCGCCAGGGAATTAAATAACCTAATGCCGGTTTAATAGTAACAAAGAAAAGGTTTTTTGGCTGTGAGAATTTGCTGAATATCACTATTATTTTTTTCCATATTTGCATAATGAAAATAAAAACATATCTGTGTGTGGAGTAAAGCCTTCACTGTGTCGACAGAAACAGTCCCTGCTCAGCACCCCTGGACAGATGTCTGGTGACTGTGTACAAAGCATTAGTGAAAAGTGCCCGTGTAGCTCTTTGTGAAGCTCTTTGTGTGACTGGAATACTAACAACCTGCCCGGGCCGCTACACCTTCAACATGAACAGGTTAAAGTGGTAGAGAACAGGGTTTTAATATCACAGGAAGAAATACACAAGAAATATTTTTTTGAAGGCAACAATCAAGAAGTGACTCACTTTAAAAACACTAGCTCTTATATAACACCTTACACGTTCACATCAGTGGAAAGTATGATGCTCTGAGGTGAAGTGGGTGAAACATTCAGAGCTCTATAAACACAAACACGTCCTCGCTGTGCCGCCATGTTAGTCCACAGACAGACATAAAAAAAAACAAAAAAAAAAACAGCTTCAATTGAAAACAATCCATCATCACAGATCGACCAGTGCCGAGTGAAAATGTTATCAATTTACTGACATGTCCTGTGAGCCTGGTGCCATGTGAAGATTACATCCAATGATTTGTGGCCGATTGCAGGTTCGCTGCCCTGATTCATCAATAGTGGTGGAAAAGTCTGCAGACGTGATACACCACCGCTAACACGGTGCTCCAATTCACTTTAAAATACCACGCTGACAGCAGTGGCGCCATTTATCAGGAGAGTAACACTAAATTCACCCTTGTGTTGTGATGAATTTCCTACTTGACACAGCAATCTAGGAATAAGGCAGGACTATATAGAAAAAGTAGACTAACACAATGTTTATATTGATCAACACCCTTATTTATCATGCTTTGAGTATCGTAACCAACACAAATCAGTAAAGTCATTTCATGTAGCACTTTCAAGTATGTCTCTCCAGCGCTCTTAGGCATACAGAGCATGTTGGTGTGGGTATGTGTGTGTGTGGGGGGGCTGCAAGCCAAGCTAGTGCTAATGTTTGTGTTATAAGTTACGATTCCTTTACAACTTGAAGGTTTTCAATTGGAGCTGAATCAACTGAAAATATTTCCCCCGCTTCAAATATAAAAAAACAATCACAGGAGAGGCTGTGAGCTGAGCTGCTGCTAGCTAAGCTCAGTTTGTTTTATAAGTTAAGAGTTCTTCCCTACTCATCCATCACACAATTGTGTACTGGAGCTGAGCTTTATGAAATTCTCTTTAAAACAAATGATCTAATGCTAAAAATCAGTGTTTCTCTCATTCACACTCTTCAAAAGACAAAGAACAACAAGAGAGGCTGTGAGCCGAGCTGCAGCTTATAATAGCTCAATTATTTTCAAAGAATTCAGCTTGTTTTTTAGGTCAGGACTCCCCCAGTGTACATCATCTTTGAGGTCTATACCTCCGAAAAAGACACGGCTCGTTGATTAAAACTTGTAAAAACTCAGAAAGAGACCCTGCTAAGCACTCTGTGCTAATATAAGATGGTGCTACAAAAATGGCAGGTAGAACTACGTTTGGTGACTTGACATAAAATGTGTTGTGAATTGATTCTGATTAAATAAAACTTGATTGCTGTTAAAACTCAGTGTGTGTGTCAAATACTCTTCTGCAGACACAGAATGTTCTGTGAAGGGGCTGCTAGCCGAGCTGCCACTAACATGTATGTAATTACATCACGTCACATTTTTTTCCCCAAACAGCTTCCTAATCTTTGGAGGGTAACATTTTTACTGTAACATATGCGACCCTCAGTCAATCATTTCTTTCCAGTTGGTAGAAGACACTTTTTTTCACCCGCAGCTTAAACAATGAAGTTCACCATCAATGAACTTCTGACAAACAGACTCTTGACTCCATGTCTGATATGTTATCGGCCCTTAGATAAAATATTATTAAGTCAAAAGTCAACAAAAGTAATTGTTTATCGTACTATAATTTAATTGCGATGTCCTATTGAGGTGTCTGTTGGCTCGGTCTAACTGAAAATGGCTACATCGCCTGTATCAGTGAGTGTTTCCTACCTGTGTCGGGGGGTCTGATGAGGTCCATGATCGCTGAGTCGGCTCCTTTGGTGTACACGGTGATCTGATCCGTCAGAGGATGTCGAACCACCACTGACATGCGTTTCCTTGTGGAGTCGAATCCCAGCGTGTGGAGCAGTTCAAAGCTCAGCTTCCCCAGGTGAGGCAGCTCCACAGTCACCTGGTCGGGGAGGCGTCCAACGAGGGAGCACTTGTAAGCTCTGGCGGCGTAGACCAGCGCAGCCTCATCGGGCGACTCGGCCTCATAGCGCAGCTCACCTTCCTCCAGGTTCCACCCTTTCCCGTCGTAGCAGGGTGGGATGGGGCTGAAGGCGTGCTCCAGACCGCCATGATGCTTCTCCTCGTCCAGTTTGGTGAGCGTGCTCTCTGCAGACGGAGATGACAGCACGCTGGAGCAGCCCTTGTTGGACGAGCGGTTGGTGATGAGGCTGGAGGAGCTGCTGTTGTTGGAGCCGGAGGTCAGTCGGCTCGGGGTGAAACGTTTGATGAAATCCTCGATCGTTTTGACCGGGGACTTCAGCTCAAACCTCATCCTGACCTGAAGGACAAAACAAACAAAAACATAACATTATCAAAACCTGCAGTGGAAAGATACAGAAGCATAATTTAATTCAGTGAATTTAAACCTTCTCTATGAGATCAAAACATCAACTAAAAAAAATATGAAACGATGATTAATAAGTGAGGAAGTTAAAAACACAGAGACATAGAGATACAAATTAGAAAGCCAGGAATACAAGAAGAAGTGTTGGCTTAAAATAATGTTTAGGCATACAAGAGAAGTAATTAAATAGTGACAACTAGAAAATCCTGTATTTCCAAATGATTACAGCTCATTTTTATTTACAAGTTTAAAATAAACGTATACATTCAAAACAATTTGTTTGCCTTCCAAAGAATTTCTATTTACAGGTAACTGCTTGACTCGACGCTGTAACCTTCTTGTAACCGACTTCATTCACTCGTCTAAGGTTGCACTCAGACAGTAAATCATGACCTGAAGGAGCAGAAGTCTTGGCCTGGATATCTGTTACTGGTTACCCGGAGATCCACGGGCTACACCACAAGCCTGGGAATATTGTCCGACTTCCCTGGAGGCTAAAAGGTCGTCAACGGGAGCAGATTCTTTCAGGGACTGTATATTTGATGATAATCCACATCATTGATAACAGATGTTTTATTTATTTTTATTTCTGTATCAGGCACATGAAAGGACACGAACATCACAGAATGAAGAACATAGAAGGGAGACTAAAGCTGTGGAAACTAAAAAAAAAATGTTGTCACTGCCATCACTGTGATAGTTACAGTCCGGATGGTCTAAGCCACCATACAAGACAAGAAGAATTCAGCAGTTTCCTTCATTGTTCTGATGCATGACTGATCACTTTTAAGCCTTAACTAAAAAGTCCTTCCTTGTTCTGTGAGAATATCTCACAGAAAACTTCAAAATACTGTTTACAGTTTATTGTAGTCTTCAATGTAATTCAGCATGGCACTCTGAATAGAAGCAGCATTAAAAAAAACATAAAACACAAGACTAGAAGACAAGTCTACGTTTTTATTTCAAAAGGTTCAGAAATATTAATATATAGAGTTAAAATAAATTAAAACTTGTAAACGATTTTTTTCCTGTTTCTTATCGAGTTTTTGTTTAACACTGTACTGCAATGTTTTACCAGAGCTTACCTGAAAAATAAGCAAGACTGATTTGGATTAAAGTTCACTTTTTCAGTAAAATAATAATAAAACAAATCTGCCAGATGATACACAAAGCACGGTAAGTTTTGTGCATCTCACTAAATGTAACATGAATGTGATATTTTGATGTTATACTTAAGATTTAACGTCTTATTATAAATACATCATAGATCGTTTTGAATTTATAATATTTATCAGAGAATGTGAATAGGCATGAAAAAAGTATAATTTTTTCTCCTGCAATAGGGGGTCACTCATAAATCTACATTCCCTCTCATGTTAAGTAGATTTTGGGAAAGACTTCACGAGCTTCAGTAAAATTCAAAAAGGTACTTTATTTTTTTATTTGCCCCTTGATGCTGCTGAAAACCACTCCCTTCAGTGTTTCAGCACCTCCTGGCTGTTCTGCTTTAATAATTGTGTTTCCTAAGACGATGCAGCACAATAGAAGCAGGAGTGACTCACTTTGAGGACTCCTGACAGCTGGAGTTCTCACATAAAGATATAAATCATTCACACACAAAGGCTTCATCATAAAATGTGAACAATCACAATGAAACAACCACAAAAAAAACCAAACAGAAATTGCAAAAACAGAAAAAAACAATACAAATGCTTCTGAGCAGATTTCCATTTCCAGCAGGTTTGTGCCTCTGACTGGCAGCCCAGTGAGCTGGTGCACACACAGAGGATGTCACCTCTGAACAGGACAACCACACCCTGGCTCCAACAAAAACAAAACACGGATATAATACCGAGACTGGAGCAAGAACATCAAAGACAGACGCCTCAAAAGATACCGAGAGACATGTACAGAAAGATTCTTTGATAGTCTGCTCTTTAAATTAAGAAGCCGCAGTAACGTGCAAGTCTTTTTTTTTTTGTTTTTAGAATAGATGGAAACTTTTTCCCCTTTGGTCAAAAAAACAAAATACACACAGAAATAATGATGCAATAACACGCATACAACAAGTCCTGTTTCAGTGGAAAGGTCCCCATTAGATCTTTAATGATGTTCCTCACATTATAGGTGGAGGGGTCACTACTTGTGTTGTCCTGTCTGTGGCTGTGATCTCCAGCTATCCTTAATTTGTTTGAATTTTCTCATATCATAAATTATTTAAAAGAAGAGTGAGACCTCTACAGCCATGATAAATGTTAAGTGGGATCAACTTCAACACATCTTCAACACTGTGAACCGTTTTGCTACCTGACAAAGAGTACTTGTTGATGCACAACCCTGTTTAAGAGGATACTCTCAGTGCTCAGGTTTTTGGAAGAGGAGCTGAGACATCAGAAGTGTTCTCCTCCTCAAGAAAACAAATTGACCCAGCTATTAAAACCGTAAAAAACACCAAATTAAGTAGTTTTTTGTTAACATTTTTGTCTCATTCGCTCCTTGTTAGGCTGCAAAGGGTCTTGCTAAGTTGCTGTTTAATATTAGAATACTTTCCCCCAAATTTCTCTATTCATAGAAAAAGTAGGCTAAAAATAACTTGAAGTGTATTGAAACTACAAGAAAGTAGTTGACTGGAAATATTGTGCATGTCCTGCTAGCGGCTGGTGCTAATGGAAACTCTATTAAACAGACTCTACAGACAGACTACACAGGAGTTTGGTGTGGGGCTGTACTGAAAAAAAAAACAACCAAGTAGTAAAGGCTTCATGTTTCACAGGCAACTTTGATTCATCTCTCAAGATCCTGAGTTGGGGAAAGCAACAAAGGCACGAGTCAAACCTGAACCAGGACCTGTAAAATACTAATAATAGGCTTTAAGTACTGCTACACAAAAACACAGAGTCATAAAAGAAAACTATGTGGACGCCAATGAGACCATGTCAGCTACCTTCTTGATTTCTTAAAGTGTTGACCTGAAGAAAGTTTGACCTTCAGGTGAGTTTTTACCTTCTGTCGGGGCTGGTTTGGTGAGGACACGACCACTGTGTTGCAAATTGTGAGCGCGATGAAGAAGTCAATGATGTCAGCGAGGTCGGAGGGCAGCTGGGACATGGGCTGGCTGTGGAATCGCATGAAGTCCATCTGACTGCTGCATTCGTTGACTTTGTCTAAGAGCTGAGGGTCGGGGGTGATATCTTTCTCCTGCAGGACAGACGTCGGGTTTATCAGAGGAGAAAATCACAGCACAAAGTACGAGGAGGAGGACGACATGAAGGTGAGACGCACTGACCATGGGGCTGCTGAAGGCCGTGTGCTTGGACAGGATGCTGGCTCGCTTCGCCTCGGCCCTGCTTCCCGTCCTGCGGTGGGACTTTGTGCTCTGGGAGCGCAGAACCACCCTGGCGCTCTGATGACTCGTCACGCTGTCCCGCCTGGGCAGGGTGCCACCGTGAGACGTACACTCCTCCTCCTCTGAATCCATCTCCTGGTACATAGCAAGTCTCCTAGCTGGATGAAACACACACCATTAAGAGTTACTTTAAGGGCAATGACTCACTAGTGTTTCTTTTAAGGGCCTGGGAATGTGTGTGTGTGCTGGCTTGTGTCACCATTTGCATCATGGGAGTACTCCACCCCGGCCACAGTGCAGCGGCGGAACACCATCTTGTTCTCAGTCAGCGTGCCCGTCTTGTCAGAGAAGATGTATTGCATCTGGCCCAGATCCTCAGTGATATTAAGAGCTCTACACTGCAGGTGAGAGTCCGTCTCCTCGTCGTACAGCTCCATGTCCTGATGGATGAAGAACACCTGGCAGATCTTGACGATCTCAATCGACACAAAGAGCGAGATGGGGATCAGCACCTGGGGGGTGGAGGACAGAGTTTGTGTCAGAACAGAGGTTGAGCTCTCATTAACAACCAAGGGTACTGTATAAAAGAGCTTCTTTGAAAGAGAATTACAGCTTCTCTGTTACCTTTCACAGTTCATATGATTAAAGAAATAATAAACAAGTGTGCAGGGTAGGTGTTCTATTGTTTAAAAAGTATCGTAATCCCTAGTGAGACATTTCCTGGAGAGCAGATCTGCAGAAATGAGTCACAGCTTTGAGGAGGGCAGCTCAGCCTGCTCAGTCTCTCTGCTCTCCCGCACCAGTCGTGTGTTTATTTGAGAGTGTATCAGCAATGTCTGGCAATACTGGCGGGTCTTCCAAACACAACCTTTTACTGTTTGCACAGTCCAAACTATCGGCTATCCTCACTGACTCCTCATTTATTTCAAAATCCACGTGATATCAGGAGGATTTAGCTGCAACGTCTGACACAGGACAGGGTGACATTTTCACTGACATATCTGACATTGGAAGCAGAAAAAAAACCTCAAACTAATCAATAGCTGTCAGGTGGCATTTTTTCCTTATTTTGATCCTGTATTATAGAGATTACTGCCACTGCGCCCCCAGATTCAATGTTAGGATAAATATCTAGAGGTCACACAGCCTGGGGGGACGGGGGGGAATAACGACTGCCAGCACTTTGATTTACAGCAGTGCTCGTGTTCAGTGGGATAAAACATTTCAAACTTAATGAAGCAGGGTGACTTGTGTATATCTTTATCTGCGCCTGTGTTTCTTTAAGAGTCTCGGCGTCTGCATCGTACCTGGAAGACGATGATCATGGTGAGGAAGAGATAAATAGCGGACATGATGGGTGATAAGTCCGTCCCCTCTGGACTGAGGACGTCAAACACAGGCCTCTTATCTCCGTACTGAAACATCCACAGCCCGTGACCTGGAACAGTAACAGCACAAGGTCAACACATATAAACACTGAAAGTAGATATAAATAACAGCTCAGTAAACACAGGGGGAGAAAAAATAGATTATTTTATCACAGAGGTTTTTTAACTGAATCTTATCATTAGAAACGACAAGATTTCACTTTGACCACGCACCGACAGCAGTGAACAGACACATGACCAGCAGGATGATGACACACCAGAACACATCTACATTCATCTGTCTCTCCAGTTTACTCCGCTTGTAGCGTGGCCCGTTGTTGTTGAGCATGGCTTTGGTCTCATGACCTGTAAAAAAAAAAAGACACACAGCGGATTAAAAGCAGCTGCTAAGAGATCAGTTAAGTTATAGGTTTGGTTTTATTTTTGCTCAATTATAAAAAATAATAACAGATCATCTCCAAGTGCAGAAAGACAAAAACTCAGAGAGCTTTTTGAAGCTTCCAGTCCACCCAAATAATGTTTAAATATATATATATATATTAAAGAAGCACAAACAGAAAATAACAATGAACATGTAGCAGTAACAATGAAAACCAAACCAAAGGTAGGAGAACATGTGAATATAAGAAGTGTATGTGATGGTTAATATCTGTTGGCTTACCTGCGTATATGACTATTCCCACAGCCTCCTCTGTGTTGCGGATGGTGCAGCCTCTCAGCAGAAGGTTTTCTTTGTAAAGTGCATCTCTTCTTCCACTTCGATGCATTCTGAGGAGTTAGAAAATGCAAAGAAAATGACAATATGTTCATAATCAAACAGCAAAAGAAAACTAAAATTGTTATTTGTTTTATTTTTAAAATAAATGGGGGGGCAAACACACCTGTATACACTACAGCCCCTAGAAGTACAATTGACACAGCATCAAAACCTTTAGGGGAATTAATTCTCTAAAAGGATTCTCTCTGCGATGTTGTCAGACATTTTGAATAACAAGTGACATTGGTGGCAAAAACATGTACTGTTAGATGTATATGTTGGATGTCATAGACCTTTACAGATATGCTGTTGCCCCCTGACGTAGGACTATGTCAGGTTAGTTGTCCTTCTTTTAGGTATCTCATGTGCTTTGCTTGGTGTACAGTATTGCTGTCCTGTTCTAACGTGTCTTGTGATGTCTGTCTTTTAAGTGTCATATTTGCTTCTGAATGTATTATGTGTTATGTAGGCTATTGCTATCCTTGCTTTTGAGTGCCCTATATGTGCCCTGAGAGGTGAACTGTACAGTATTGTGTACCCTGTGTGTCTGTTGTTCCAGTTCAAAACAAGCCATGATGGCTAAACTAGCATACATTGGCCCTCTAACTTTAAACTGTTTGAATAAATAAATAAATAAATAAATAGTGGACGTCTTTCCTCGGGTGTATTTTACCGAAAAGAAAACATTGTAGACATTGCAGCCTGTTTCCTGGCTGCTGGATCTATTGGAGCAAAAGAGTTTGAACCTAAAAGTCAGTAACTATTTCTAATCACTAAAGTACAAAAGAACGGGATTTTCTCCTTTAAAATAGTGACAGTGTAAAAAAAAAAAAAGTAAATAAAATGTTGGAAAAAAAAGAAAAGGTATCTTGTTCAAGCCCCAAAGACAACATCAGTTTCTTGTGCTGAGCACCTCAATCAATCACGCTCTAAAGCATCATGATCTTCTCTCAGCAGCAGCCCTTATCTCGGCACAAATTCCCTCTGAAACAGAAACCCCGGCTGTACTGCCGCTCCACAGAAACCCCCCCGGGCTTACACTCAATCAGGCAATTCACTGCTCCATCACTGACCCACAGATCTCGCTTCACACTCCTCCTACCTTTAAAGACTCCTCTAAGGTGTTGATGAAAGGCCGAATTCACATTTTACACCGTCTGCAAGGGAAGTGTAAACCCTCATAGAAAAAGATTCTTGACTAAAAGTGAGACGTTTATGTTCAACAAGATTAAAAGACGGGAATCAGTCTCTGTTCGGGGGGAGAGATGAGATTTGAGTATCAACCTTTTATCCCATTACTGAATCGAGGATTGTAAGTGTGTTAGTTAATCAGCGCCACAACCTTCAGCAGAGTGTTATCAGAGTCACGTAACTGTCAGCATGTTTACCAACATCACTGTTCATCCTTTGGCCTCTGACAGCAGGCCGACCAGAAACGTCACCGTTATAGATTAATAACATCGTCCCCGAGCTGCGAGCGGCCGTAGTTCAAACGCAGCTCGTCCCGATTCATAGCTCAACTCTGTTCCAAGAAATTGATAACACTCTGAGACGCGGCGTGCTTTCTCTAACAGAGAGGTGGAGAGATTAGACTCGGTGCTGTTGGCCGTAATGTAATAAAACATTGCTGAGACAACTACCCCCCCACTGTCACCGACTCGGCCGCTGTGGCCTCTGCTCTTCTGTCGCCGGGCAACTGAATACCTGCAGCATCTGGACCCCTTCTGAGTAAAGGATAAATGTCATAATCATGTGAGTGCCACTCACTGAGACTGCTTTCTCTGTACGTGTCTTATCCTCATCCAGAAAGTCAAAAGAGCAGGGAGACACAGCTGCTATGGTCTGTAAAAAGTCTGACGACAGCAAAGACATGCAACATCTCACTGAAGAATAAAGCCCTGAGTAAACTTGATTTTAAGTTCACAACGTGAAAGTGTCCTGTGGTAGTTTGGAGCGTTGGTTGATGATGCAGTATGCACGTAACCACTAGCAGCAGTGTAGAGTTGTATGGTGATGAGAGCGGAAACATCAACATCGGAGACAGCAGAGAGCCGCTACAACAATGGCGGAAAGTTTAGAAGAAAAGTTAACAGATCGAGTCAACGACTACCCGCACTATGATGTGTCATTACTGTTGCATAGAATCCAAAAACTGGTGATAAAAAAAGCTGCCAACAGATCATCTCTACTTCTGTGTTTTGCTTAATCGCGTTCTTGCGGAGGATTAAAAGAGAAGATCAAGACTCTCCTGTCTCTAGGGTGATTATCAGTCAGTCCATTTTCTTCGCTAAGTACCATTAGTAGATGAAAAGCAGATCTTTGGTGTACTGCAGGTGTGTAACAAAAAGATGTCAAAGTTTTGGTTCATAAAAAAACGAAACAGCATCAGCTAACAAAAGTGATGTACAGGACACCAACAAACAAAACTAATGCTAAGAGCAGGTCAGAGACTGAAAACAGCAGGAGACAGATAACCTGGTTTTGAGATAACTTCTTTTACACTCTTTCACCAATAACTAAAAAAAACAATAATATAAACTAACTCCTGTGGCTGATGACGAAAATAGATCTGATATTTTGGCAGGTTTTGTATCTCACTGGGAAGCTCATAAGAACCTGTAGTTTATGCACACATCATGGTAATACAGCTAACATGCAGTAAGCAGTAAGTAAAAATGTATGCTTAAAAATTCCAAATACAAGTTTTAAATGTCAATCATGTTGTCCTCCTCTGAAACTGTAATAAACTATTTTCAGACTCAATCCACGCTTCTTCCTGAAAGCTTACTGGAAATCAAGCACGCTGCAACCAATTTATACCAATGTGATTGTGATTAAACCGAGGTGTACAACGCAGGCAATGTTTAAGTTTAACCCGGTTTATAGGCTGAACTATGTCTGTCTGGGTGCAGTGACTTCTTGAAGGCTGGCAGCCAACATAGACGACAACAGAGGCTTCAATAAGCAGCAAAGCTTCATAGTTAAACAAAGACATAACAAATACTCCAAATCCAAATTTGACTGCATTACTGTGGATTGTAAGAGTCCAGAAAACATCCAAAAGCAGGCGACCAGGAGACATCCTCATCAGAAGCCCAAACCACCTCAACTGCCTCCTATTGATGTGAAGGAGCAGTGGCTCTACTCCGAGCTCCACCTGAATGTCTGAGCCCCTCACCCTATCGCTAAGGCTCTCCACCCTCTAGAGGAAACTTCATTTTAGCTTATCTTATTCTTTCGGTCCTTACCCACAGCTTATGACAATAGGTGAGGGATGGAACGAAGATGGGTCGGTAAATTGAGAGCTTTGCCTTCAGACGCTTCAGAGAGTTAGAAAAAGACTAATAATGGACCTTGGTTACATCTTTGAATTGCTCCACTTTCCCAACATAAAGTCCAAGTCTTGTAAACCCTCATATCTATTCGACAGCCCCAGCTTTCTGTTGCTTTTAAGTGTTCAAGTGCTAGTGTCAATTCCTGCAGCAGAATATGTAAGAAACTGGAACTGGAATCACAACGAGCGAGTAATGTTACTAATAAAGACGAGACAGGGACAGAGGAGTCATTTCATGAAACTCAGTCAAGCTTTCCTCCCTTTCTCATCTCTCTCAGAAACACACCTCGTAACTCTAACATGCTGCAAACACAGGAAGTGAGGTCAACCGCAGGAAGCCAGCTGAGAGTGAGGAGCACCTTCTTGTTGTTGTTGTTGAATACTAAACCCAACCCTCTTAGAAGTAGAGCATCAGACAAGAGGCTGCACAGAGCTGCTGCTGGTTCGGTTTATTCTGGTCATGAGAAAACACACACACACACACACACACACACACACACACACACATCTTCAAATGGGAAAACCCTGCAACCACATCCCAAGAAAGCAAATCGTAATCTGGACTTGGAAAAACTGTTTAAATCATAATGATAAGTTAGAAACTCCTGGCTTCTTAACAAACCACAGTTTCACATTATTTCCATTTTGTAAATCAACATTACTCAAAATGAAGCGGCGTTAATTTACAGTGAAATAAAAATGAAACCTGAAACCAGCCTTAAACCATACACAGCACAGACCAGACTTCAAAAAAAAAAAAAAAAACAGTACTCACATGTAGCCTCTGAATCTGTTCAGGTCGTTGTTGGGTTTCTCACATTCAATCACACTGTTGTATTTCAAAGGGTCAAAGTCACAATCCTGCAAACAGAAAACAAACAGGTGATCATTCAGAGCCTCAGTTAAATCAAAACAGTTCAGTGTCTATGATATTATATTTACCATCGTCAAACATGTCGGGGAAACTCTGCTCAATTCAAAGCAATAAAATCATAGAGTGTAGGGCTGCACAATAAAGCGGAATAAATCGCACAATATCCAAAAATAGCATTGCACATCATTAGTTTCTCATATAGTGCGGGACCTATGATAAAACAGGCTTAAAGTTAAAAATAATTAAACTATGTTTGTACGATTCAAATTTTCATTGCCCATATTTTAGCCTATAGAAACTCACTGTATTTGTTTGGACTAAGCTCCTGCATTTTTTTCATATCACAATTTATATCTCAGAAAGAAAAGATATCACAATGTCACTTTAAAAAAAAACTTTGTTCAACACTCATACAGTGTCTCAGAAGTGATGGTATAGTTGGATAAACACTTCACTGATACAGCTGCAACAAACATGAACAACCATTATAGTCGTCATGTCAGCAGTTTTAGTTCATATTAAACTGTAATTGTAAATTGCAATGATGCTGAAAATATATTCTTAGTTTAGCTCATGTAGATTAATTCCAGCAGTGCTTTTCACTTTCATTCTTTTCCCTGATTTCTGTCACTTCCTCTCACTGAGATTTCTGAAATTGTGAGGAAAAGATCTAAAATGAGAAATCCTTTTTCCATAAGGTCAGACTGAGGTGATGTCAGACTGATGTGATGTCAGACTGATGTGATGTCAGACTGAGGTGATGTCAGACTGAGGTGATGTCAGACTGACGTGATGTCAGACTGATGTGATGTCAGACTGAGGTGATGTCAGACTGACGTGATGTCAGACTGAGGTGATGTCAGACTGATGTGATGTCAGACTGAGGTGATGTCAGACTGATGTGATGTCAGACTGACGTGATGTCAGACTGATGTGATGTCAGACTGAGGTGATGTCAGACTGAGGTGATGTCAGACTGAGGTGATGTGATGTCAGACTGATGTCAGACTGAGGTGATGTCAGACTGAGGTGATGTCAGACTGATGTGATGTCAGACTGACGTGATGTCAGACTGACGTGATGTCAGACTGACGTGATGTGATGTCAGACTGATGTGATGTCAGACTGAGGTGATGTCAGACTGATGTGATGTCAGACTGACGTGATGTCAGACTGACGTGATGTCAGACTGATGTGATGTGATGTCAGACTGATGTGATGTCAGACTGAGGTGATGTCAGACTGATGTGATGTCAGACTGATGTGATGTCAGACTGATGTGATGTGATGTCAGACTGATGTCAGACTGAGGTGATGTGATGTCAGACTGATGTGATGTCAGACTGATGTGATGTCAGACTGATGTGATGTCAGACTGATGTGATGTCAGACTGACGTGATGTCAGACTGATGTGATGTGATGTCAGACTGATGTCAGACTGATGTGATGTGATGTCAGACTGATGTCAGACTGAGGTGATGTGATGTCAGACTGATGTCAGACTGATGTGATGTGATGTCAGACTGATGTGATGTGATGTCAGACTGATGTGATGTGATGTCAGACTGATGTCAGACTGAGGTGATGTCAGACTGAGGTGATGTCAGACTGAGTGATGTGATGTCAGACTGATGTCAGACTGAGGTGATGTCAGACTGAGGTGATGTCAGACTGATGTGATGTCAGACTGACGTGATGTCAGACTGACGTGATGTGATGTCAGACTGATGTGATGTCAGACTGAGGTGATGTCAGACTGATGTGATGTCAGACTGACGTGATGTCAGACTGATGTGATGTCAGACTGATGTGATGTGATGTCAGACTGATGTGATGTCAGACTGAGGTGATGTCAGACTGATGTGATGTCAGACTGATGTGATGTCAGACTGATGTGATGTCAGACTGATGTGATGTGATGTCAGACTGATGTCAGACTGAGGTGATGTGATGTCAGACTGATGTGATGTCAGACTGATGTGATGTCAGACTGATGTGATGTGATGTCAGACTGATGTGATGTCAGACTGATGTGATGTCAGACTGATGTGATGTCAGACTGATGTGATGTGATGTCAGACTGATGTCAGACTGAGGTGTGATGTCAGACTGATGTCAGACTGATGTGATGTGATGTCAGACTGATGTGATGTGATGTCAGACTGATGTGATGTGATGTCAGACTGATGTCAGACTGATGTGATGTGATGTCAGACTGATCTCAGACTGATCTCAGACTGATGTCAGACTGATGTGATGTCAGACTGATGTGATGTCAGACTGATGTGATGTCAGACTGATGTGATGTCAGACTGAGGTGAGGTGATGTCAAACTGATGTGATGTCAAACTGATGTGATGTCAGACTGATGTGATGTCAGACTGATGTGATGTCAGACTGATGTCAGACTGATGTGATGTCAGACTGATGTGATGTCAGACTGATGTCAGACTGATGTGATGTCAGACTGATGTGATGTCAGACTGATGTCAGACTGATGTGATGTCAGACTGATGTGATGTCAGACTGATGTGATGTCAGACTGAGGTGAGGTGATGTCAAACTGATGTGATGTCAGACTGATGTGATGTCAGACTGATGTGATGTCAGACTGATGTCAGACTGATGTGATGTCAGACTGATGTGATGTCAGACTGATGTGATGTCAGACTGATGTGATGTCAGACTGATGTCAGACTGATGTCAGACTGATGTGATGTCAAACTGATGTGATGTCAGACTGATGTGATGTGATGTCAGACTGATGTGATGTGATGTCAGACTGATGTGATGTCAGACTGATGTCAGACTGATGTGATGTCAGACTGATGTGATGTCAAACTGATGTGATGTCAGACTGATGTGATGTCAGACTGATGTGATGTCAGACTGATGTGATGTGATGTCAGACTGATGTGAGGTGATGTCAGACTGATGTGATGTCAGACTGATGTGATGTGATGTCAGACTGATGTGATGTCAGACTGATGTGAGGTGATGTCAGACTGATGTGATGTGATGTCAGACTGATGTCAGACTGATGTGAGGTGATGTCAGACTGATGTGATGTGATGTCAGACTGATGTGATGTCAAACTGATGTGATGTCAGACTGATGTGATGTGATGTCAGACTGATGTGAGTGATGTCAGACTGATGTGATGTCAGACTGATGTGATGTGATGTCAGACTGATGTGATGTCAGACTGATGTGATGTGATGTCAGACTGATGTCAGACTGATGTGATGTGATGTCAGACTGATGTGATGTGATGTCAGACTGATGTGATGTGATGTCAGACTGATGTGATGTGATGTCATGTGATGTCAGACTGATGTGATGTGATGTCAGACTGATGTGATGTGATGTCAGACTGATGTGATGTCAGACTGATGTGATGTCAGACTGATGTGATGTGATGTCAGACTGATGTGATGTCAGACTGATGTGATGTGATGTCAGACTGATGTGATGTGATGTCAGACTGATGTGATGTGATGTCAGACTGATGTGATGTCAGACTGATGTGATGTGATGTCAGACTGATGTGATGTCAGACTGATGTGATGTGATGTCAGACTGATGTCAGACTGATGTGATGTGATGTCAGACTGATGTCAGACTGATGTCAGACTGATGTGATGTGATGTCAGACTGATGTGATGTGATGTCAGACTGATGTCAGACTGATGTGAGGTGATGTCAGACTGATGTGATGTGATGTCAGACTGATGTCAGACTGATGTCAGACTGATGTGATGTGATGTCAGACTGATGTGATGTGATGTCAGACTGATGTCAGACTGATGTGATGTGATGTCAGACTGATGTCAGACTGATGTCAGACTGATGTGATGTGATGTCAGACTGATGTGATGTGATGTCAGACTGATGTCAGACTGATGTGAGGTGATGTCAGACTGATGTGATGCGATGTCAGACTGATGTCAGACTGATGTGAGGTGATGTCAGACTGATGTGATGTGATGTCAGACTGATGTCAGACTGAGGTGATGTCAGACTGAGGTGATGTCAGACTGATGTCAGACTGAGGTGATGTCAGACTGATGTACATCATACAACCTGATTAAACATTTGTGCCTAGGGTACATCAGTGGTCCCTCTGTCTGAGCTTCTCTCCATTTAGGTGAATTGAAGGTAATGAAAGATACTCAAAAATCACAGAGGAGAATTCATATTTCACCAGCAGAAGAAAGATACAAGGAAGCATGATTCAGCATAATGACAACCAATCAAATTAGAGAGTTTCACAACTCTTACCTGGGGTGCACTTACTAAGAGATGCACGTTTTTCATGTGGCAGGTTGTATTTGAACAGCCACAAGGGACGTGAAAAAAGACATCCACAGTGCTCAAATGATTAACTGAAACGTGTTCACAAATATTTGACTTTTTACAGACTAAAACACTGCATATACTGCACTACATACTCACATTACTGAATGATTGGTTGGCTAAACAAATGTGCAAACTTTCCTCATTTCTTAGAATGCATTATTGTCAAAATATCTAACTGTATGTAATGTAATGTAATGTATGTAATATATAATATATGTTTGTGTATGTATTACCCACAAATTAAAAAAAAAGTCACTTTTGAAACACCAGTAAAACAATAACTTAAATATAATGTAATGGCATCTTAAAACAGGGAAAATGTCCCTTCTAAAGTAAATGCTATTTTCTGATGAGAGCAAAAAAAACCATCTAATATCAAAGTAATTTTGAGTTTAACAAATATTCATGCAGAGGAACTGACCTCTGTGACCTCAGTTACATGATAAAACAGCTGGATGCATACAACTTAAGTTTTTGGATGGTGAACTCCTGATTCCAAAAAACAGAATTCAAATGCACTACATCTGATGCACATATAAAAACACTTTGGCAACAAAAAGTAAAAGAGGATATCTCACCAGGTCGAAGAAGCTGCGGACGACCTGCCTCTGCTTGAGGTTGGTCTCTCCGTCCAGTGTGGCGGTCTCGATGTGGCAGAGGCGGTCGGGGTCGCTGGAGCTCAGCAGCAGAACGTCGGCGGGGAGGATCTCGTTACATCGCAGTCTGATGAAATCTCCCACCCGCAACTCCTTCCAGTACTTCTCCACATAACGTCTCTCCGCTCTGCAGGAACAACAACGGAGAAAACATTTTGTGTAAGCTATTGTTCTCAATAATTGCTGGTTCTAAAAACAGAAACCTCACTTTTCATAAATCTGGACGAGACAGCAAATATGTTATGTATGGAAGGGGGCAGGGAGTTTGGTGATATAAAACTTTAAGCTGGAGAGAGGAACTTTCAAATTCTACAAAGCCAGAGATATTCCTCTAGAAGTATTACTCTACACGTCCAGCAGAGTGCTTAAAATGTCCAAAATGTAGATTGGAAGAAACATGGAGCATCTCTTACTGATTTTGCAATATTCAGGATGTGGTGGATAAAAAACCTGTGCCCTACAAATGGAATATTGAAAACTGACATCAATTTTAGAGGGGAAATAATTGGTAGATTTGAGTCAGACAGCTCACGTTTGTATTGGTTTAAAACGTGTGACAGAGCTGCCAATGAAGTCCATTTTTGAGCTGGAATAAAACAGAAATGTATCTACTATGATGACAAACTTCATGATGCTATAATTAATGAATCATTGTAAAAACCTTTATTCCTGCATAAAATGTTCTGTATTAAAAGATGTCTTCATATCTACACATACCAGAAAATATAAACAAGGATATTCATGTAGCTGTTAAGAGCCAATGAAAACGTCTTTATTAAACTGCTTGGTTTTGATTTTATAAATGATATGTGTTATCCATAGTTAAGCGCGTAGCTGACATGATTGACAGGCAGGCGTGATGTAATGGTTTGTCAGTAGGCTTAAAACCCGCCTCAGCTCCAGCTCTCAGCCTGTCGTTAGGTTGACTGAAAGTTAGGCTGAGACAGCATTTCCAACATGGCGGCTGCTGCCGATGAGCCTCCAGAGCCCCCTGCAGTAACAGATGGAGGATGTCACTCAGGCTTCATTCATAAATATTCACTGTCTATGGTCAAGACTCGGAGTCACACTGCTCGTCAATGTCACCTTTGGCCGACGCAGCCAGTCAAATCTAGTAGGAGGCTTTACCTCTGTTTTTATTACCTCCTCTCGGAGCAAAGCGACAGCAAGAGCTGAACCTTTTTCAGGAGTAAGAGAGGCGTTACAGGGGCGAGAAGGGATCGGCGGAGCCAGCAGGGGAACAGACTGAGTGTATGTGGAGCTCCCGCTTTGCCATGCTCTCTCTCTCGACCTCCTGCAGCTTCTTATTGTAAGCAATGTGAGTTCACACACTGTGACACACACCAGCATTACGCTGTTTCAGAATCAATACAAATGACTTAAGGTGTTATGATGGCAGAGCTTTGTTATGTTGAAGAATAGCTCTCTGAAAAGAGCTACTGTAACAAGCAAACTGGGACTCCACAACTAAGGAGTAAACTATCCAAACTTCTTTAACACCACACTGTCTATGTTTGTGGGAAACATCTCCAGGATTGTCTGTTGTTCATCAGCACAGTGATTCTTCAAAGAGTAAATAAGATGTTGGTGTGTGTTAAATTGAGACACATGATGTCACTTTTCTGAAAAAAGCTCCTGCAAACACAACAAAAGCACTCTCTAATGGGAACCATGCTTCATCTCTGAACAACGGGATTGTCCTGATAACAACTGTTTTAAATCAAACATATCCTCAAGCTTTAAACAACAGTCAAGAAGTGAAGGAGAAAAACACAGTTATTTATTCATAACAAGCCCCCTGGCATTAATGACTCACATCCGGCTGGATAAAAAAAATGTTCCTTTCCCTGAATTTGGTGGCTGAAACGCACGTGGTGTCCACATGAAAGTCAGACTTTCTTCATGCACTTCATACCTCAGACTGGACGAACTGATGGGAAACAGAGCAACAGTCAAGAGGACAATGACAAACGGAAAACTGATGTCTGAAGCGTTTTCTCTTTTCTCTCTTGTTTTTCATTACAGCAGAAAGGATCAATGGCCTGAGGACAAAGAACAGACTTTCCAAAGTGAAAGTGTGCTGTGACTGTTCAATAAGTGACCATGGTTTGTTACATGTTCATAAGAAAACCACCAAATGTTTAACTCTATAAAACATCAAGATATTCTTAAAATGAATATTCTCTGCATCAGTTTCCTTCTATTTGTCCAACAACTGATCCAAAACCAAAGATTCCTCATTAGCTCTCAAACATGACAGAGAAAAGCAGAAAAACCTCAAACATCATCAGCTGGAATCAACAAATGTTTCACAATTTGGCTTGAAATATCTGAAACTATAAATAAAGTATTAAACCATCATTCCTGTGAATCTATTGTAAATGTTAACGTTTTCATCTTTTCACTGATGTTGGTCCTTTTCTCTGTCATGTCTGATATCTACTGGTCTGTTCTTTTTGATTATTATCGGAGTATAAGATATACACTGTGTGATTTTTTTTCACATAAAATATCATGTTAAAAAAAACAGAGTTTAAGTTGACTCAGCGATTATGTCATGGTGAAAATGACATCTGTCTACATTAGTTTACAAGCCTTTTAAATAACTCTTCTTTTGATGTATTATTCAATAATTATACAGTATCATTATGGATTTAATTATTCCATTCTTCTTTGTTTCAACAGTTTACTGACGCTTTATTTTTCATCATTAGATATGGTGAACCAGCTTTATGTATAATATTTATTTTTATTTCATGACTGGTATTTCTCATTTTATTTTCCTGTGTTATCTTTTATTATAAGTATTGATATTTTGCTATCTCTACTTCACTTTTTTTGAATGTAATTATCTTTTTGTTGTTTCGATGTGCAGACACATCTTGTTTTTTTCAGAAGCTTGTGAAGAACTTTGTAAGTTATAAAAGTGTGATGTATGACTGTTTTTTCTGCGTATCGCTGGAAAACCTCTTGGAAACATTAAATCAGTTTGAGTAAAGAAAAAGGATTATTGCTGCAGGCTTATGTGAGTAAAATAGTTTGTCTATTAATTCTTCTTAGATGGGGAAGCAGCTTTTTATTACAGTGCATGACCACAGAATAACTTCAGTAAACAGAGCTGTAAAAATACATCCCACATGTCACTCGTAAATTATCCAGTTATAGAAGAAAGCATCATTTCAGATTATTGTGGTCAGACGAGGTGTTCAGTGACCTGGAGTCCACACTCGTTCTGGTAAGGACAGCAGGCGGCGGCCGATGTTGTTCTCAGTACCGCGTAAAGCAGATTAACAGTAAAACTATTTACATTCCAGTGGAGTAACTCTGTTAGTGCTACGCCTGATATGAGCGGGTTTGTCTTTGTAGTTTTCCAGGATCTATGTTAGGGAGGAATCCTCAGAAGTAAATCATGTTAAATGTGAAGAAACATTCACCAGCACATGACGGCTCCCATCCACCAGACTTAGTAAATGTTAGCATTTTTTGATTACAAAGAATTGCCTTTATCATAAACCAAAGCTGCTGCTGCTGTTTGGCCATGTGGAAACCGTTAGTGTGGAGATTTATGAAGTGAACTTTGTAGAAATTATTCTGACGTTAGAAAGTCAGAAAAGGAAACTTTGAGTTGATCCTTTAGAGGAAACTTCAGATAGAGTTACTAGTATTGGAACACAGCCTTCAATGCTGAGCTCAGGTATTGACAGGTGACTGCACTGATCTGATGTGTAACAAATGGAACGGTGAATGAAGTCTATAATGCTTTTCTAGTCATCTGAATACTCAAAGCACTTCTAACACCACAGCTCATATTCATTTTTTTTAATATATATATTATACATATAATTTTTTTCTTGCAGGCCAAAATTGTCGTGTTAGAATCGCTCACTGGCCACAGGTTTTGTTTTTTAAAATATAGTTGAAAAAATTGTAAGGCTTTGTAGATCAGAATCAAAAGGCTCGCTAAGAAACCCTTTAAAAGGAAATCAAATATTTTGATTTCTTCGTTCTACTTTATTTGTTTTTTCCTCAGAATCAAGCCTGTAACGTGTTTCATTTTTTTGGAAAAGCTTTCTGCATTTAGCTCAGGTCATTAAATGGTTAAACAACAGTTCGCTTGTTTGCAAAAAACTTTGCATAAGCTTTTTTCATAGTTTACAAAAAAATGTGGAAAATAGTAAAAGCTGTAGATTAAAAAAACAACATGTTACTGAACATTTTCTATTTTAGGAATATATTGTTCAGCCCTGGCCAAAATCTTCTGATTCTTCATTTGAAGTCACGGGCCGCAAAAAATCCCCTCAAGGGCCGCAAATGGCCCTCGGGCCGCACTTTGGACACCCCTGCTGTAAAGTGTCAATCAGTATTAACTGATCCTATTCATATACATTTAAACACAGCTGATGCAGCAGTGGGAGCAATCTGGGGTTCAGAGTCTTGACCAAGGACATTTTGACATGTAACTGCAGGAGCTGGGGTTCAAACCCCAACCTCCAGCTCAAGAGATGATCAACTCGACCACTGAGCCACAGCCCCCCCATAAAAAAAGAAATTGTTTTCCCAAAATATGGGGATTTTACAGTACAGGCAAGACACGATTTGAATCATAATACTGGGCTCACAACAATACTATTTTCTCTCTTTTCTACAAAGACTTGAGATTGAAGTCAATTTATAAATAAATATGACTTTTTTCAATTCTCTGACAATAAAAATGCTAAATATGTTTATTTATTTATTTTTTTTAGATATTGTTGCTACTTTTTACTTATGAGGTTGTATTGTTGCTAAGAAAACAATGCATATTATTTATTTATAAAGAAGCAACACAAACATGTTCCTCCACTTCAGCAACACTTTTGTCTTCTTTTTATTGTTCACAAAGTTTTTACCTGGAGCCAAAAATATTCACTGAATGAACAACAAGCACTAAAAGAAGACGTTTCTGTAAAAAGATCTCAAAGTATTGTTATTTATTCCTCGGTGTGTTCATCTTTATTTTTTTCTCTGTTCTGACTGTCTGACAAACTAACCCTTACAGGATTCATTCCCTGTTTAAGTTTGTTCATGTTTTACACTTGGTTTTCCTGAACCAAAGCCACAATGATGGTCACATCCATACAGGGGGAGCAGGCTTTTTTTTTTTTCCACACTGCATTCAATTTGTCCGTATTGGAAAATTCATAACTTTGAGCTGGATTCAGTATGGCAACAGAAACACTTCTCAGAACATCTCTTGTATTTAATAAAGCTGTGTCCAGGTTGAGAAAAGGGGATGTTTTTGACAATATCTACACAGCAGAAGAAAACTCAATTATGTCCAACCTTGACAGAACAACCTGGGTCTAAGCTGAGACTGAGCAGCTACTAACACTGAGCCTTTTGATTGACCATGAATTATGCTCTGTGCGCTGGCCACAGTGCTGCTTTTCATTAGCAATAGCACTCTGCACACACACATGAACACACACATACACACACACACGAGACTCAGGAATAAAGTTTGCAGTGGAGAAAGCCTGGCAGAGACACACACAGGCTGTCAGGTATACACACTGACTCATCATTAACAAAGACAGCACTAAGACAACATCTGTATTTAAGGCAGGCTCACACCTCTGTGACAGAAAGGTGGGCAGCAAACTGCAGGACTGTCTGGATCCACATGTGATAAATATTCCTCCTGTGTCTGACAGGTTTTACTCTACGGCCTGAATCTTCTTTTTATTAAACTCTGGGCTCAGGACTACTAAAACTTTTGAGATTATAAAAATTATTTGTGACACTCTCTCAAACACAGAATACATTTTAACATGCAAAGATTTTATAAAGGCACATTCTTTACTTGACTGTTTTTTCTATATTTGACTGAAGGGGTCATTTTGTCCAGAATACAAAATAATACAACTTTTATTTTTCATTTCTTCCAATGAAATTTAAGGGGAAATGTACTTTTTATCCTGCTACATTTATGTGACAGATATTGTTTTGTTAACTTTCCCGATTAAGATTACTTATCAGGCCACACGATAAGAAACAGTTTCTTCATTATCACAATATGAGCATTTAAAAGAAACAGATAGAAAAAGTCAGATAAGAAGAATCATTGTATGTAAAAAATAAAAAAAATAAAAAAAATGCTAGCTCATTGAGCAGCATGCGTAATTAGTTTATAAACCAGGACGCCCTCAGATCCTCTGCTTCCTCTCCTTTAGTTGTTTCACAGCAGAAATAAAACATTTAGTGACGCTGCGTTCAGATGTTACGCTCCGAGACTTTGGAACAAACTTCCAGACGAGCGGAGAATAACGCAGTCTAAAACCTTTTTATTCACTCTGGCTATTATGTTGTACTTTATAATTTATACAGCTTTTTATTTTCTTAGGTTTATATTAATATCATTATTCTACCTCAAAATTAACATTTTAGTGTTGTAAGTATTCATATTTATTTCTTATCACGTGATTATTTTATTTCTAGCTTACTTTATTAACCCATATTATATTATCATTTTAGAATTGTATTTTTATTATTATACTTTGATTTTATTTGAATACCATTTTTTTATTGTTTCTTGTCTGTATGATCTTGTCACTTTTTTTAAACACTTGTTGTTCCTGTAAAAATTTCCCTTAAACTCTGAAGAATAGAATACCAAACACTTCAACAGCCCGAGCTGTCAGAACCAAACGAAACCAAGTCTAAAATCCTTGCCGAAAAACCGAGGTACGTATTGAACTATGGGCTGACTGTGTTGTTGAATCCTTGATGCTTTCACATCATATTGACGAGAGTTGAAGCTCAAACTAGTCACCAGTTTTAAAGAAAAATTAATTCCTGATTTGTTTTGGATTCAGGACAAACATGTTGCAAATACAAGCACTGCATGTGTAAAACATGAAGAGCAGAGAGAAATAGAAACTGTGAGTTATAGTTGAAATGTCCTCTATATGTGCTCTCTTTTGTTTAGTCAATGCACTTCATATTTTTATCGCAAAATGTAATATTATGGAACATCACATATTTCTGTCATATAGGCCCATACAGTAAAATACATAAAATACAGAGTAAAGCTAAAGGTTCAACCAGGGCTTTTCCACCCTGGTTGAATCTTTAGCTTTGCTCTGTATTTTATGTATTTTACTGACGCCTTAGTTATGTTCAGTGTACTGGATGTTACCGTCACTGTGATACTATAGTGATGTTTGGATAACGATATTAACGTCTGAATCAGCCTCCATACCATTTGGTATCGACTATCTGTGACACAGTCTCAGCAGATGGCTGTTCAGCTTCTTTGCTAAATGATGCAAAGTGCTGTGTTCATGTGGGGTTAATGTCGGGTCTGTGTCAATAATACAACACAGAGTGTGGTCCAGATTTGCTCTTTGTGTAAAGTGTCTTGAGATAACGTTCGATATGAGTTGGTGCTATTCAAATAAAAATCCACACTGAACAGTCAGCCGGCTCACCTGCGCCAGTAAAATATATAATTTCTACAAAGCTATGAGGAAGTGGACAATTCTGCATCGGTGCAGTGACAGAACTGAATGCATAGGCTGCTACTGATGTCTTTTAGACTTTCCAGTTGCGACTGGACCCATTCATTTATTTTGGTTTACAATATAAAGACATTTAGGTTGATTATCTAAAACACTTTATAAAAAAAATGAACAAAATAAGCTGAGTTCATATTTATCTGACTGCTTGTCCTCACTGATGAAAAAGTTGCCATGTGCAGTAATGTAGAAAATCGAGGATGCGATGGATCACGATATCGAATCATTAGCAGGATAATCGTAATCGAAATCCAATCGTGAGACCGATGGAGATGCACAGCCCGGCTGGCTGGAGGTCAATTCTTGTGTGATTTACAACAGCGTTGATTTGAGAGTGTAATGTAAAGTTATTTTTTTATCACATCTAGACAAATTAACCAATATCCAAGTCCAGGGATCAAAATGTGTATCAGGAAGAAAGAGCTGCACTATGTCATTGTAATGTGCTAAATACAGATCACACTGTTGTGCTTTCATACAAAAGTAACTTAGATTTTATGCAAATGAAGGTTTGCTCTTGACTCTAGGCTCATTTTCCTAAAAAAAAAGATTAGAAAAAAAGTAAAGTGCCACATTGACTGTAATGCGGTTTGAGGTATATCTTTGTGTTGTGATATCAAAAAGTCAGGTATACAACAATAATCTGGATTTCCACATATCATGAACATCTGACAGAAAGGCTGACAGCTGGGTTCTTACAGAAGGCCAGGTTGTCAGGTTTGGCAAGCAATGTAAAAAGAAAGAGGTTTTTTTTTTATAGAGTCTGAAACCACTTTTACCATCTGATGTGTGTTTTAAGATGCTTTGGGAAGGACACTGTGTACAGTGACTCATCGTGGGGAAAATAACTAAACACACAGAATCTCAGCAGCAGCTGGACACTGCTGGTATGAGGCCCAGGATCTTACCTGCTGAACACCAGACAGTCCATGTGATTGATTTCTTTATCCGACCTGTGTCTCCTGTAGTCCTCCCATAAGTCTTTGATGGCAGTGACAGACAAAATGAAGACCACAGGAGCCAGAGCAAGTTCAGGCTGAAACGCATTGACAACTGGAACGAAATTCAGCAAAGCGATGAAGACAAAGTAAACATTGGCAAACCTATGAAACTGTTCAAAAAGGTTCTTTGGCAGGAAAGACAGCACAGTGTACTTGGTCGTCTTAATCTTGTTGTTTGCATAGTGTCGGTTTGGGTTTTCCTCTCCTTTAGCGTGGTCATAGAGTAAGTTTGCGTGGACGGTCCTGGTTTTGTTCTCCTTACTTTTCTTCTTTCTTTGCTGTTTGACTTTAGGAGCTTTGACCATCCCGGGGTCTTCTCCGTGCCGCGCCATAGCCAGCCCAGCTCCTGCTTCAAACTTTCCCACAGCTGAGCTTTATCGTGTCCTCTCATACAAAACAACCCAAAGTGTGAGCTATGTTATCATTCTTTCACCGTGTGGAGAAAGTTCCCGTCACTTTATTCACACGAAAAGTTCCTTTTCATCCATGTCGACTCCTCTTTTTGCGAGTTGGATACTTTTGCTTGTTTAGCTTCTCTTTTTTTTCCTACTGCTGGGAAGGATGCTGAGATAGTAGGGAGGCATAACTTTAACGCCCCATAAGTTGGCAGACGATCTGTAAATCATGTGGATCGGGCTCTTCCGCTACCGGCCCGCTGAAACCGAATGTGTAGATTAGCGCATGCGCGCAGGCTGCGCACAATCACAACGTGTGTCAGCCACTCAGGGGTCGCTCTCCTCTGGAAATCTGACCCGCAGGCCCCTCCTCGATCAGACCTGCGTTTTTTTGTGTCTCCAAGTGCCACGCGGTATTATTGGAGTTTGCAGTAGCTCACAGGAAGCACCCAAATATCGAAGAATTAAAAGTGTGTGCACTCTGTACAAGTCAAATAGTTTTTATACTGACAGAAAGCAACTTAAACCATGAAGAGCAATTCAAATTTGCGTTATATTTTATGTCTGCTATACTGCATTTTAACTTATTTAGCCATCTGTCACCACAGTGTTTATAATAATTGATCATATTAGCAATGATACAAAACAGTTAAGAAATAAGATTTTAATAGTCATTACAAAAAAGGAGGCTATCTCAAATAGAAACTGGCTTAAAACTAAAAAGTCAGGCTAATACTGTTGCAAATACATAAGCATTATATAGCCTACTAAACCCCCCCTCTCTACCAAACTCAGACAGACTAGCAATACCAGTCATGGTAAAGTTAATGCAATTTAAAATGTTTATGCCTACATATGACCCACTCCCTTTCAGATCACTTTGCTAGTAGGCCTAATAATCCTGATTTATGTATTAAATGTGGCCTAGGAGAAGGTCATACTTAATAAATCAATCGGTCTTTGGAGCTTCCTGAAAATGATTTTTTTTGGGGGAAAAGGTCATACAACCACATGTGATATTATCTCTATAGGCTCCATGTCTTCCCCTCAGAATATTTTTAGATAGAAAAAAAAAGGATAGTTACTCTAGTTAATATATGCTCACTCCAGGCTAAACATTGTATTGCAACAGCCTATAAAGCACTGAGATGCAAACAGTCGGACATTGGTTTTAAAAAAATCTCTAACTGTTGATGGAAAATACAGAGTTTATTTAGTATGTGACAAGTTATTACATTTCTTTAAACATACCTTCCAGGATATAATAATACTTGAGATATTAATATTAATTATAAAGTAGTGGAAAAGAAAATGTAAAAGGCCTACCACTAAACATAACTGCTACATCAGGTAGATTGTACAAGTGATATTTAGACTACAGGACTCATGGCTGAAATATGAGTGTCAGGGCAAGATTCAAAATGTCTTAATAACTTTATCATCAATCATCAAAGTAGCTGCAGGTTTATTTATGATAAACAAATCCAGTGCTTTTAAAATTATTCCATGTTGAAGACCTAAAACTATAGATAAATCTTAATTTCTTATGAAAATATTAACTGAGGCCTTAAATACAGTCAGAAAACGAGTCAGTTTCTAATCCGCTTCCATAAAATCAACCTGCCTTTGCAAGTTGAGTTGCCCCACTAGCTTTACTTTGGAAACTAAGAGCCCCTTCCCGTTCTTATGCATAGACTTTGTTGTATTATCTTATAGAGGGGCTGATGTCAACGCTGTATTAAATAGCTATGTTAGTAATTACGTTTATCTGAGTCAAATTATTATCATAAATAAAACTACAGGTAGTGCCCACACAGTAAAACCATCATTGTGCCTCTGGTGTGGGGATTTATGTTGGATTTTGTAAATGTTCTACCTTTAGGTGACCTTTAATGTTTCAAACCATCCTGTAACTTTCTATATTCAACCACTAGGAGCCACCAAAGTTGGTGAGTCCTTCACACACAGGGGCTTCAAAGGTTGTTGTGTGCTTAAAAGCCGCAGTTTGGCATTATGACCTGTTCAGCCATCGAAGAAAAACATGGAATAAGACATTACAAAGGTAAACATGCCCCCCTGAGCTCTGTAATACACTGGATCAACATGTGACTCAAAGCTCTGACATATTTGTGATTAACCTCCTCAGACTGTCTGCCCACTTCAGCCAGCAGGTTCCATCCAGGAGATAAATCAGCGGCCCGCACAAGGGCAGACTGCAGCAATCCGTTTCAGGAGCATCCAGCTGTTGAGCTTAAAACTAATGACTGATCGTAGACTGTAGCATCTTGGCATTCAGAACAATTCAATTCCCCCATGATGAATGAGCAGAGAGAGGTGGATCTGATTCAACAGGCCAAAAAACCGGCTACTGCACCCAGCTCACAACAAGAACAAAACTAAATCAGGTTACGCGTCTAAGATGAAACTAAAGTAATCCCATTCTTTTGTTCCCTTTTGGGAAATTAAGTTTCATACATCCAGTGTTTTTTATGTGGTCAGAGATTCAAAAATCATCCTGCCTGCGTTTCTAATATCAATTAGAATAAAACAGAAAGGTTTCATTTTCATTTCACAATGAAATGAAGAAATGTTTCAGCTTAAGTACACAGCATACACAGCAAAGCAACAGCAAACATGTATTCATGTAAAACATTGAAAAATATACATTGCCCAGTAGATATTGTTTACTCAGTAAATGTTTATTGCAATGTAAATAATAATTTATTTTGCAAAGGAAAATATGTGTATTTAATACTAAACAATATAATGTAGATAGAGTATATTGCACACTCTATAAGGTATGTTGCACATTAGATAATTCATGTTAAACAGTAATAATAAAATTGTTTGGTATAGAATGTATAAAGCAGAGAAAAAAATGAGTGGTAGATTATGTAAATTACACTAAATAATGCATATTTAACAGCAGATCATGTAATTTCCACTGTATACTTCAAATAAAGTATACGTATTGAACAGTAAATTGTGTATTTTGCACATTAAATAATCCATATATGGTAGATAATGTAAATCTTGCAGTAGAAAATGTATATTGCACTGAATATAATGTATACTGCACTAGAAAATTGAATGGCACTTTTAAAAATTAGTTATTAAAGTGCTCAAGCTTATTTATTAGTTTAGCTTTCTGTTCTCCCATAATTATTTCACAAGGATTTTACTTTATTTCCTTGTTATTTACAGGGAAAAAAAGTGGTGGTTTCTGTTTCTCAAAGTGTCTGAGTCGACAGCACATAGCTTTACGATGAATATTACGGCATCTCGTGTCTCCACGTTGGCAGCAGATAGAGTTATAGGAGGCTGACACTTATTTTACAAGTTCACTCTCCATCTGTGCTCCTCCGACATCATCCTGGTGTCCTTCAATGAAACATAAAAGTGACATCACGAGGACCCGCCCCCCTCAGACTGATCTAACATGCTGCCCTTGAAGAAGAACTCACAGGACAGCTGATTTAATTACTGTATGTCATGAATATCATGTTCATTCATTTACTCAGTATTTTATGAGCAGATTGAAAAGTGACAGCATCTTGTAAGTAGTTTTCTGAGGAACCTGTAATCAATCCTTTAACTATGTACATATTCTAGTCTATAGGGACGGGGTAGGGTGGCATTGAATTCTTATCACCTTAAAATGCAGAATGCAATTGGCATGCATAGACTAGAGAAAATAACATTTACTTCTGATATAAAGTAAACAGTTATGTATTTGAAGAAAACTTATTTGAATTACTGTGAGTGATACAGTACATGTAGTTTTTTCTTTTTTTAAATTATCCTCAGATCATGGTTCAAATAAACCTCCATTGTCACATACAAAAACTCAAACAGACTAAAAAACCAAACCAGAGACAATGAGAAAGACTCGTCCTCGTTCATCACGCTGACAGATTAGAAGGTTAAAAGGTTCACAGCAGCTCATCCACTTTCACAGAGAGCGAGTGACCTGCCAGAAGAGGGCATGATACTCCAATAACATCACACATGGCGCTCCACTACTGCCAATAAAGTCCAAACATTAACATGTGTCAGTGCATTTAGATGAGAGAATGATCCATATGAGTGTAACTATTATTTGATGTGTTATTAGCAGGAGGAAGAAGAACATCTTCTATCAGTTATGTCTTTGTTTGACTTTACTCCTGTTACTCTGAACTATAAAACAGTTAATTTATCTCAACCTTTTGAGTCAGGAGACTAAACATATAAAATAAGCCATGTGAGCAGACATCATCCTCATTTATTCACTTATCTAACATTGAATTGATGACTTGAAGGCTGATAAAAAACAAACAATATCTATACCGAGACGAGCATTCTCCTGTTGCTAATTGACAGTGAGATGTTTAGCACCTCCGTTTATTCTGATGTGATCTGTAGGTGTTAAGACAACAAGAGAGGGAAGCCATGGATTTAAATGTAACCGACAGACATTACCACCTTCTCTGAAAATAAAAGATTAACAGGTTTGTTAACCGTCTTGCTGCTGCTCTTTCTGAAAACAATTCTAAAGAGAAAATCTCAAAGTTGAAAGCTCCTTTTATTCACAATCATAATCAAGTTTGGTTACAAATCAGATTTTCACACACAGGAATTGGCATTGGTGTTTTGTTGCAAAAACAATAAACAGCACTCCTTTTGAGGGGGAATTTTAAAAGAATCAAAAATATGAAAAACAAAACAATGTAATACAGAATGTGTAATGAGGCGATGATGATTCATTGGATGTCTTATTTGTCAGGGTCTTAAAATATTAAATCCAATGTTTCCAGCTAAACGAAACAGACTGATGAGAAAAGATGAGAGGAATGAATCGAGCAGAAGTTGCCAGGCCTGAACGAAGAAGCAGACACAGAAGAGTTCAAAACTGCAGTTCCTCCAATGACCACCAGGGTCTGATTCCCTAAAGGGTG